AATGTTTAGGGGTACTCTCATTTTCCTGCTCATAGATTCACAAAATGTTTAGGGGTTTTTTGTTGTTGTTTTTGTCCCCTAGGCCACATCCATCCTTTCCTAACCCTCCAGGGATCACACACTGGTAGTTAGTGTGACCGCCCTGCACTTTCACATTCATGCAGACACACTCACATGACATGCTGCTCCTCAGCTGATCTATGCAGATTATGCATTATTAGGTTATTGCCCTCTTAACCCCTTCAAACAATTGATCTGATAGTTGGGGAGGGCTTACTAGTCATGGCACCCTTCCTCCCATTCTGTATCTTACTTAATTTTGTTTTCATTCTGTTGTCATTGCAAAAATAAAGTTCAGGTCTTGAGTGGGGGAGGGAGAGAAAAAAAATGGTTGAGGGCTGATACAACAAGGGACATCAACTGGTTGACAGGTGAGTGTTGATTGGGGAAAATGCTTCATGGGCTGAATTGGAAACCCGGGGGGGGGGGGGAGATTGGCCCACAGGGCAGAGGTTCTCCACTCTTGCTTAGTGAGTTTGCAGGTTAGGCGAGACTTGAACTGGGCACTGTGATATCCCAGGTGCCTTATTCCTTTGGACAAATTACGTGTATTGTTGTGTTTTTTTTAAAAAAAGCAAAAGAATTTGCGGATGCTTAAAACAACAACAACAAAGCAGCAGTAAAGTGACACATCTCTGTAAGTAGGTCATAGAAACTTTTCTCAGAGTCCTATGAAGTGTACACAGAATAGTTCTTGCCAAGCCCTTTTTGCTGGCACAGACAAGAGCATCAGTCCTTTTTGCAGACTAAATCAGCAGTCTGCTTCACACCAGTGTGAGAGAGTCACGCGTTGCCTTATATGGACTTCTTATCTGAGAGAGGAAGTTGGGGCTTGGCAGAGCTAGGATGCTTCCTCTTCAGCTGAAATCTCTGGGGAGGCAATACCACAAACGGTTTCTTGATTATCTCAACATTATGCAGCCTGTTTTGTGCGAGCACCTAGGCTCCTCTCAAACCCACCTAGCAGCAGCCTCACCCCTTGCACAAACCCTCTCAGTGTCAGTGGCTTTTTGCATAAGAGAATCTCCCAAGGAGTTGTGCTATCCCCTCCCCCCCCAAGTTGGAAAATGTGCTCATATACAAAACACACAAGTACACAGGCACATTTATGGTTCAGGAATACATCCACACCCTATTCACAACCATAAAGTATAGGTATCGTAGGCATGTTAAGACTGTTATCTATGCAACATAAGCAACTCGAATAGTGATTTTCTTTTAAGGGAACCTCAACAACGGCCTGTGTAGGGGAATGTTCAGGATCTTAGTCAAAGATGTTCGCATTGCCTCTTCAAACACCGCCCAGGATTCTTTGGAGAATGCTCTTTTAGTTTAATGTATTTGTTTAAAACAATGTATATGCCTTCATCAAACATACTCCAGTTTACCTTGTGTGAAATCGAAGCATATTTGAAGGGCAGGTGTTTAAATGTCCGCATGTATCACAGTCCTTCAACATACTATAGTTAAAACAGTCTATGGGTAAATGTGTTCTCTTGTGTCTTGTCTTCTTCACAAGATTAACTGGGTGTCTCTCTTCTCTCCCTGACCCTCTCAGGGGACCTTGAGGCTCTCAAGAAACAGACATTTGTAATAAAGGAAGGATCTGAATATTGTGCCAAGATCCACTTCAAAGTGAGTCACTCTTCTACTTGTGTTTTCTGTGGGTGTCTAGTGCTGGATTCTGCCCCCTGCTGATGCAAACCTGTGTACTGGGTTGTAGGTCCACATGTTTCAAACCTGACAGTCTAAATAGTAAAAGCACTGCTAAATTAAAAGTGCATATTGTGCAAACACAGCAGTAGTCTGTACCAGGCCAAAATGGCTTTCCACAATGCAGGCTCTTGCATTCCTAAACCCCACTGCTGGGACTGGTAGTTTATTGAGTTTATATTGTTATTCTTTAATGTATTTTATTGGAACGGTAAATGTTGCAGATGAACCAGAATGGTGCTCCCCACCAGAAGAACAACATATAAATGTTTTAATAGTTGTCTTTTCAGAAAAGTTTTTTACAATGTTTACCGCTTTCATAAAATCACCCTTTTTTCAAATCTCATTACTGTGATATTGTGGTACTTCACGGGGAATTTTACACTTGTGCAAAACTGACCTGAAGGTGCATTTGGAGAAAGGCTTAAACTCAGTGCTTTTTTTCTGGGGGGACGCAGGGGTAAGCATACCCCTAAACATTTTGTGAATCTAAGTTTGGCCTCATTGAGGGCAGTATTTCAATATGAGTAGGAAAATGAGAGTACCCCTTAACATTTTTTTAAAAGAAAAAAAAGCACTGCTTAAACAGCCTACCCAAAAGCAGCAAATCAAGTGTGTGTGTCTGGGGGGGAGGGGTAGGTTTGTGTGGTATCTGGAAAAAAAAAGGAATTGGTTAATTTATATGATGACATATAATTAAATTGCGTATGCAAACCCATTACTAAATCTGAGTGAGTTTATCCAAAAAAATTACACTAAATTTATCATTCTAAAATGTAACAAAAGCTATCAGTTTCTCAGCTTGATCCCTGCGCTGGCCTAGAGTAAACTTTTCATGTAAAGGAGTTTCATTATTGGCAAGCACCTCTTACAACTGCTTATGAGGAGGCACTCTGAAATTGAGTAGGGTGGGCTTTGTTCATCCATGCCATCTCCCAACAGCCAAAAAGGGTGAGGGATGGCAAAACGTTGCACAAGCAAAGAGGAAACAAGGAGGGAAACGTGGAATAAAACAGTCTTATTACCAAGGGGGGGCAGCAGAAGCTTGAATGATGATGCTTTTGTCTTGCAGGTAAATAGAGAAATTGTATCTGGCTTGAAATATGTGCAGCACACTTACCGGACAGGGGTGAAAGGTAAGTAAAGATGAGCTATTCTTTTTCTTCCTTAGCAAATCTTCTTCCCACCTCCCTGCATACTGTTCTCCTCTACTGCTTCAGTTCACCTAATCCCACTCACTTTCCCATGTATTCCCCATCGCTTTCCAAACTGCAAACATTCCATTTTTTTATAAAACTGAATTTGTTCTGTTAGGGCAACAGACAGCTTTGATCAAAATTAAATGCATAAACTTAAAGTTTGGATATGCCCTTGGACCCCTCCCACAAAATACTGCCAGTTTGGAGGCAACCTAGTTTATGGAAAGAGCATTAAAATCCTTTCTGGGCTATTTTCTGTGCATGGTTGCAGAGCAGCAGCAGTGCACACAGGACTCCCTCACTGCAGGCTGTTGCAGCATAGAAACTGCAGAGCTGAGCTGCTTGTGTGGCTGTCTCTCAGCAGCCTGTGTTTGTGCCCTGCCTCTGATGACTTTCTTGCGGGCTCTTCTCTCCTAGTGGACAAAGTGACATTCATGGTGGGCAGCTATGGGCCACGGCCGGAAGAATACGAATTCATTACACCTCTCGAGGAGGCACCTAAAGGCATGATGGCTCGAGGAAACTACCGCAACAAGTCCTTCTTCACTGACGACGACAAGCACGACCATCTCACCTGGGAGTGGAACTTGGCCATTAAGAAGGAGTGGACAGAATGAGCTCCACCTCGTTTCTCCTCCCCCTTTGCTTCCTCCTGCCTCTTGCACTGTTCTCCAGGTGTGCCAGTCTCTGGCTCCTGCATGCCACGCTTCCTCCAACACTCCCCAACCTGGCCCTTTTACTGTCACAAGAAATTCTGTTTTAACACAGGCCTTGGGACAGACTCTGTCTCTCCTGCGCTGAAAAATAATCCACAAGGAATTAAAACTGGGACAAGTCATCCTCTCTGCTTGCATAGGATCAGTCCTTGAAGTGCCTTTGCTAGGAAGACGCACAGATACTAACCGAACACAATTGCTATCTAGGTTGTCCCCATTTAAAGATCTATGGCCGTTAGCCTAGTTTCCTTGCAGTCTGTATTCACTGGAAACATACTTGCCTATGAGTGGATTCTATCTAATCTAAACTTGTTTTTTGTGTGCGGAAAACTTGCCTTTGAGAGTAGCAGGAGACACAGTTCCTGCCCTGGCCTGTGAAAATGTCTGTGTCTTTGAAAATAAAGCCAGTTTTGTCCTTTGCTTCCGAGTGTCTCGTGTTTCATATAGTAAATGGATTTGTTCCGTCCTTTGCACATGCAGAATGTCAAACATATTCAGATCTACAATGAATTTTAAAAATAGATCCGAATACTTTCGTGGGTATTGTTTGACTTAGGGTTTCTCCCTCCCTTTTACTGAAGCATATTTATTGAGTGCTTATACTCTGCAAGGTGCCACATGGAACATAGATATGACCTAATCCTTGTCCAGAGGGCATGGTGTTTATGAGATACTGCTCTAAGAAGGGAGGGACACCTGTCATCTATCTGCATGGAGGGGATGCATACCTCTTCTGAGATTAGGCAAGCAGTATTTAAGAGCACATAAATAATGACTTTCCCCTCAGAACTGTTGCTTCCATTCCTATAGAATATTCATGCAGATTTAATCAAGTAAACACATTAAATTAAACTACTCAGATACCTTTAACTGAGTGAAGCTCAATTAAAAATGGTTTGGGGGCAAGCAGTGACAACCCTGGAGTGCCCTGGTTGCAGAATAAGTGGGAGACAAGGCACTGATTATAATAAATAAGGTCTTTCTTTGTTATCTTCGCTGTGCCTAGACCACTATGAAAAAGGGAGTCCTATTGCCAACAAAATGAGGAACAGAACACTTGCAAAAAGAAACCTCCGGGAGCCTCCTGTCCCTGAAGTCTCTTATCGTGGGAAATAACAGATCTGAACATACCCAGGTGTTTCACTCCCACAGCTTTAGGTGTTGCCACATCAGATTCGGGGACAGATGGCAAGTCACCTTTCTGATGTCTGGCTCGAAGCAGGGCTTGTGGCAAGGAGAGAAACGAGGCAAGGCAATGAAAACCTCTCTCTTGCAGCAGTGGTTCCTTGCGTCCCTTCTCAGTTGTGTCTTCATGTTGGGGTGTGCTGAGAAGGAGCCAGCACCCAAAGGTAAGGGAGGAATGGCTTGAATTCCAAAGAGGTGGTGAGGCTGTGGGGATTGGCACATAGAGTAGGAGGGCTTATCCAGATCGAAGCAGCCATTCTAGCTGAGGAACTGCTGCTCCCAACTGAGAATGTGGGAAGCATTCTGAAGGCAGCCATGAAGGCTCATCGCTTCTGCCTGTGAAATCTGATAAAAACTTTCAAGGAGGGTTGGGTACAGTGTGTTTGTGTGCATTCGCTTGGCTGTGAAAAGAGGCTGGCCATACCTTCCTCTACTTCTTAGGTACTCCTGAAGATGCAAGAAAACCAGTACAGTTGGAGGATGTTGCAGCTGTGGCCGCATTTGTCAGTGCAGCTGAGGTGGTTGTCGTTGGATTCTTCCAGGTTTGTTGAGATGACTCTGTGGCTGTAGACTTAAACTAGACAGGCCTTTCATGCTGGGCACTCTAGCACAACCTCCTCACAACCCTGTATTATGTGGAGGACCATGTAAAAAATAGTTGCTCCCATCTATGGTTGTTAAAATTTTGTCAGCATAAGTACCATATTTTTTGCTCTATAAGACTCACTTTTTCCCTCCTAAAAAGTAAAGGGAAATGTGTGTGCGTCTTATGGAGCGAATGCAGGCTGCGCAGCTATCCCAGAAGCCAGAACAGCAAGAGGGATTGCTGCTTTCACTGCACAGCGATCCCTCTTGCTGTTCTGGCTTCTGAGATTCAGAATATTTTTTTTCTTGTTTTCCTCCAAAAACTAGGTGCGTCTTATAGAGCGAAAAATACGGTAGTTGGACTTTTGTGAGCAGTGACGGTGTCATAGGAGGACAATATAACACCTTAATGCTGTCTGGTTCAGGAAGGAGATTGTGGCTGTAGTGTGAGCACACAGTCCAAGTTCCAAAAGCATAAAGGTAAAGGTACCCCTGACCGTTAGGTCCAGTCGCAGACAACTCTGGGGTTGCGTGCTCGCTCTATAGGCTGAGGGAGCCGGGTTTGTCCGAACCAGAGCAGCACACAGAAACGCCGTTTACCTTCCCTCCAGAGCAGTACCTATTTATCTACTTGCACTTGACGTACTTTTGAACTGCTAGGTGGGCAGGAGCTGGGACCGAGCAACGGGAGCTCACCCCTGTCGCGGGGATTCAAACTGCCGACCTTCTAATCGGCAAGCCCTAGGCTCTGTAGTTTAGACCACAGCGCCACCCGCACCCAAAAGCATATTGATACCAAAATTATCTTGAGTACATAGTTTTCTCTCTCCTCAGTTCTCAGTGTGTTTTCTGAAGGCCATTTCTCACATTTATGGCCAGCATCAGTACTTGACATCCTCTGGCAGCTTCCAGGGCCCAAATGACCCAGTAAGGATCAATGTTTGTCATGGCTCCTCCTCAGCAGGCAGCTACAAGCTGCTGCTACTACTATATCCCGCCCCCCCCAACACTATAGAACACCTGATATATTGACACTGGAGCATTGTAGGAAATTAAAAATGGAGTTGTCCAGTGCTAATGGGAGGAATGTCACTGCCAAATGGGGGTGGCGTTTCCTGTTTTGCCACAACAAGAAGTGCTGCCGCTGTTGTCCTGCACCAATTGTCCTGCTGCTTCTGCCACTGATTTCTGGTGGGATTGTGCCAATTTCCAGTGAGAGCTTGCTCTCCAAGGGTTGCATGATCTCACCGGAAATTGGCACGATTGTACCGGAAATCAGCATTGATGCCGCTGCTTCTCTGCCAGAAGAGTACCCACAAAACAAACCACCGCCAAGACTCAAATAAAATGTGTACAAATAGAAGGCGCCTTCAAATGGAGGACTGTTCTCTGTAAAGTAGGACAATCAACAATCCTAGCAGTGGTTCAATGGACTTGCTAAACATTGTGCTTTACTTCAACCGAACATTGCACTGCTATTGTTAAAAATATCACTGTCTCTATAAATACACTGTACAAATGTGAAGCCAAGTTTTCAAAGGCTTGGAATTTGGTTCGTCCAGCTAAAGCCCAGTTGATTAATCACCGAATACTCAAAAGCGCTTTCTTCCTCAGTTTGAACTTACCAATGTGTTTTCAGTCCACACTTCTGCTTCCACTCTAGAACCAGCTGCTCAACAATAATAATAAAATGATGAAGAGGCCTTTGTTTAATATGAGGTCTCTCTCTTCTACCCCTGTTATTTTCCACCCAACTCCTTTCCCCCAACTGAACCTTGACAGATTAGAGAACTGGGCCAAAACAAACAAGATGAACTTTAACAGGGAGAAATGTAAAGTATTGCACTTGGGCAAAAAAAAATGAGAGGCACAAATACAAGATGGGGGACACCTGGCTTGAGAGCAGTACATGTGAAAAGGATCTAGGAGTCTTGGTTGACCACAAACTTGACATGAGCCAACAGTGTGACGCGGCAGCTAAAAAAGCCAATGCAATTCTGGGCTGCATCAATAGGAGTATAGCATCTAGATCAAGGGAAGTAATAGTGCCACTGTATTCTGCTCTGGTCAGACCTCACCTGGAGTACTGTGTCCAGTTCTGGGCACCACAGTTCGGGAGGGACGCTGACAAGCTGGAGCGTGTCCAGAGGAGGGCAACCAAAATGGTCAAAGGCCTGGAAACGATGCCTTATGGGGAACGGCTGAGGGAGCTGCGCATGTTTAGCCTGGAGAAGAGGAGGTTAAGGGGTGATATGATAGCCATGTTCAAATATATAAAAGGATGTCACATAGAGGAGGGAGAAAGGTTGTTTTCTCCTGCTCCAGAGAAGCGGACACGGAGCAATGGATCCAAACTACAAGAAAGAAGATTCCACCTAAACATTAGGAAGAACTTCCTGACAGTAAGAGCTGTTCGATAGTGGAATTTGCTGCCAAGGAGTGTGGTGGAGTCTCCTCCTTTGGAGGTCTTTAAGCAGAGGCTTGACAACCATATGTCAGGAGTGCTCTGATGGTGTTTCCTGCTTGGCAGGGGGTTGGACTCGATGGCCCTTGTGGTCTCTTCCAACTCTATGATTCTATGATTCTATGATTCTATGAACCACATTAGCTGTAAACTTGGTTTCAATCTCACTTTCGATCTCTGAGATTTTTAACTTGATTGAAGACAGTTTCAGGAAACATGTTTTAAAGGGCCAACCGTCACTGTTATTTGAGATGTAGAAAGGATGCAGAGCAAAATTATCTTAAAATATTTGATAAGTTGTGCATTTCCAGTCTCTGAGCGCTACCTCATTTTATACTGAGAGTCTCTCTAAAGATGCAGGGAGGATTGGGACGGAATGGGTCAGAAAACAAACAGCTATGTGTGGTTCACTAACACCTTGACATCCTTTTTTGATGGTGGCAGGGAGAGATATTTAATGTGTTTTAATACCTACTCTTTAAGTAGACATGAAACAGTCTTAGAATCTCAATAAGTAGATAAAGATTGCTGTATTGGCTCCAAAGGACAGAAAAACAGGTGGTATCTCCCAGTGAGGAAGTGCTGTCGTCTACAGTCTCAGGGCCTAAGGTTCAACAGAGCACAAAGGAAAGTCAAGCACTCTGCACTATTTAAGGAGCCTCATGACTTTAGTTGCATCTGGTTTATAATTGCAGCCATGGTAGCAGGAATGCATTGCTCATTCTCTTTTAAATATAACAGGTGACCAGTCTGGAAGGTCATCCAGAATATTCATTTATTGAGGGATGTCCAGTAATCCTTGTCATGGAATACTGACTCATGCAGAATAAGGGCCGCTAGAGAAACCTGTTTAGGAAAGTTTTTAATGTTTGAAGTTTTAGTCTCTTTTTAGTGTTCTGTTGGGAGCCGCCCAGAGTGGCTGTGGGAAGCCAGCCAGATGGGTGGGGTATATATAATAAAATTATTATTATTATTATTATTAACCTGCACGACTACAAGTAGCCGCTAGATGTCAGCATCCTTCACTTAAATTGCAGTCGAAAGCCAAAGCCCTGAAGAAAATCTGAGGCAGCGATTTCTGCCTACAGAGCTGCTTTCTTAGTCTTTATTTAGTACATTTTCCTGCTCTATTTTTCTCCATTCCCCCCCCCCCATCCTCCACCTTTCTCTTTTTCTCTCATTCTACCTCTTTAAGGGTACAGCTACACTATAGACTGAAATGGCTTTTGTTATGTAGTGTAGTTTCACTCTGGGCCAACAGGGGGATACTGTATATAGTTTTCACTCAGGTCTGTAGATAGTTTTCACTCAGGTCCGCGCCAGTTATTTTAGGCGGGAACTCTGGGCTGTTGTGGTTACAATGTTGACAGCCGGCTGCCTATAAATACAGGCCGGCTGAGCTGTTCGCAGTCAGTTGTATTCCAGCTTACCATAATAAAGAGCTACTTGAAGAAATCGCTGTGCCGGCTGCTATGTCAACCCACGACTTAACACTGGCGACGAGGATGGGATGGATGGACATCAGAGCACAGCCAGATGCGGCCAGCCTCTGAACTGAGCTGAATCACTGAGCTGAATCACAGAGCGAAATCACTGAGCGAAATCACTGGGCAGAACCAATTCAGAGCTGACTGTTCTGGCTAGAGCACTGTGTTCCATCCATCGCCCTTCACGCCGGCATCGGAATCATGGCTTCACTTGTGCCTCTACCGCCGTTTGCGCCAGCCTCTGAATCGTGGGACTCCTACCTCGCTCGGTTCGACTGCTACCTCCAAGCCAACGAGCTGACAGCAGTATCAAAGGATCGGAAGCGGGGCCTATTCCTCAGCCTCTGTGGGCCTGAGGTGTTTGAGACGGCCCGAGCATTGGTTGCGCCTGAAGCAGTCCAGGCAACACCATGGGACACGATCCAAGAGAAGCTCCGCAACCACTACGCACCTAAGCCGTCCAAGATTGCTGCCCGCCATGCGTTCTACCACCGGAACCAGGCAGAGGGGGAGTCAATCAACAACTACACCACCGCCCTGCGACAGGCTGCAATGCACTGTGAGTTCCGAGACTTAGACGATGCCCTGATGGATCGAATCGTCTGCGGGGTCCGGGACATCCATCTGCAACGGCGCCTCCTAGCCAAGCCAGACCTCACGCTACAGAAAGCCATTGAGGAGGCTGTGGCCTCAGAAGCTGCTGAACGCTCCGCCCAGGAGATCCGCAAGTCCAGCAGCCCGCGTCTTGCTAGGGAGCCAGTTCCGGTGCATCATGAAGAGGCCAGCAGTGATGAGGCATCCTCCAGTGAAGACGATGACGTGCACCAGACAAAGCGGGAGCGCAGGAAGTTCCAACAGAAGTCCAAGGGCCAACCGGAATGTGCTGGCTGCGGAGGCAACCATTCCCGTGCCAAGTGTCGATTCAGAGACGCCATCTGTAGGAAGTGTTCCAGAAGGGGCCACATCGCTAAGGTCTGCCGATCGGCTCCGTCTGACACCCCCCCTTCATCGACTCGCAAGTCCAAGTCTTCACTCCAGTCTGCCAAGGAAAGTTGTTTCGCTCTCACCAACTGCCGCTGCCCGTCTGGAACCACGATTGGTCAAACCGACTCGCCTACGCGACGCAAGCTGAACGTCACGGTGCTCATTGAAGGAGCTCCATGTGACATGGAGATCGACACCGGGTCTGCCCTGTCCATCGTGTCATGGAGCACCATCAAAAGACTGGTACCCAGAGTGTCCAAAAGGCAACTCGACTCTCACCGCGTACACCTGAGAGACTACCAGGGAAACGACATTCCCGTGGTAGGCGTTGGCCGGTTCCGGATCGCCTTCAAGGATTTTTCGGGCCTGCTCCGGTTGGTGGTGGTCGAAGGTCAGCGGCCAAGCCTCCTAGGGCTAGACTGGTTTGATGCCCTCGGCCTGGAAGTCACCGGCATCAACTGCATCTCTAACGCAGAGACTGAGGGTCTGGTCAAAGACTTTGCCGAGGTTTTTGACGGCACCTTGGGCCAATATACAGGTACGCCCATCTCCTTTAGCCTTGATCCACAAGTCGCCCCCATCAAGCTAAAGCCACGCCGGGTTCCCTTTGCTCTCAAGGCTAAGGTGGACGAACAACTGGACAAACTGATCGCCCAAGGAGTTTTGGAGCCGGTTGACCATGCAAAGTGGGAAACCCCCATCGTCACGCCTGTCAAGCCAGATGGGTCGGTGAGAATCTGCGCTGACTACAAGTGCACGATCAACAAGGCACTTCAGCAGCACGCTTATCCGGTTCCTGTTGTCCAACACCTGCTGCATTCCCTGGGTGAGGGTAAGGTCTTCGCTAAGCTGGACCTTGCCCAAGCCTATCAACAACTGCCAGTCGATGATGCCACTGCTGAAGCCCAGACGATCGTCACCCACCGGGGGGCATTCCGTTGCCGCCGGTTGCAGTTCGGGGTGAGTGTGGCTCCTGGCATCTTCCAAAGCCTTATGGAGCGTCTCCTGCAAGGGCTTCCGGGCGTGGTACCATATTTTGATGACGTCTTGGTGTCTGCAGACTCACACCAGCAGCTGTTCGAGCGCCTCCGTGCCGTGCTGACCAGGTTCCAGGAGGCCGGGCTCAAGGTAAAGAGGGAGAAGTGCCAGATCGCCGTTCCACAGGTAGAGTTCCTGGGCTATCTTATCGATGCCTCCGGTCTTCATCCAACCACATCCAAGATCCGCGCTATCCAGCAGGCCCCCACTCCAAAGAACAAAACGGAGTTGCAGGCGTTCCTGGGGCTGCTGAACTTTTATAACATGTTCCTGCCCCACAAAGCCACAGTGGCTGAGCCTCTTCACCGACTCCTTAGCACTAAGACGCCTTGGGCCTGGGGTCATCGGGAGACGGCGGCCTTCAACGCGGTCAAGGCTCTCCTTTCTTCAGACAGTGTGCTGGTACAGTACAGTGAATCCAGGCCGCTGGTCCTTGCCTGCGACGCCTCACCTTTTGGCATCGGTGCTGTCCTTAGTCACCGTTTTCCAGATGGAAGAGAAGCACCGCTCGCCTACTTTTCCAGGACACTATCTCCGACGGAACGGAATTACAGCCAGCTCGACAAGGAGGCATTGGCACTTGTGGCTGGAGTGAAGAGGTTCCATGAATACCTCTATGGCAGGACTTTTGACCTCATCACTGACCACAAGCCACTCCTGGGCCTCCTCGCCGGTGATCGTCCAACTCCACTGGTCCTCTCACCACGCATGCTGCGATGGACTGTTTTCCTGGCTGCCTACCACTACCGGCTCATCCACCGCCCGGGGAAATCGATGGGCCATGCCGACGCCCTCAGCCGTTGCCCTCTTCCAGCATTTGTGGAAGACCCGGCTCCAGCTTCATCGCTCCTTCTGATTGAGGATCTTCCGGCAGCGCCTGTATCGGCTGCCACTGTGGCCTCCGCATCTGCCCAGGATCGCACCATCAGCCGGGTGCTCAACTGGGTGTGGAGGGGGTGGCCACAAGGGCCCTTTGCATCGGAGTTCCAGCCCTTCGCAACCAGACAACATGAACTCTCAGCTCATCGCGGCTGTCTGCTGTGGGGAGACCGCGTCGTGATTCCCCAGGGACTCCGTCAGCGCGTCCTGGAGGCTCTGCACGTTGGCCACCCGGGAATTGTCAAAATGAAGGCGTTGGCTCGGTGTTACGTCTGGTGGCCTAATATGGACGATGCCATCACTGCCTGGGTGTCCGCCTGTCAAGCGTGCCAGGAGTCGAGGCCTGCACCACCGGCAGCTAAGGGACACACCTGGGAGACGCCAAAGACACCCTGGTCGAGGGTGCACATCGATCTGGCTGGCCCCTTTCACGGCCGGACCTTTATGGTAGTGGTGGACGCCTATTCCAAATGGCTGGAGGTCGCCCTGATGCCCTCCACCACTACCGAAGCTGTCATCCGGGTGCTGCGAGGCCTGTTTGCAACGCATGGGTGTCCTGATGTCCTTGTCTCTGACAACGGACCGCAGTTCACGTCAGGCACGTTTGAGCGGTATCTTTTGGGACTGGGCATCCGCCATGCCCTAACGGCACCCTTTCATCCATCCAGCAACGGGCAAGCGGAAAGAATGGTGCGCTCGACAAAAGAGGCACTGGCGCGCCTGGACCGGGGAGACTGGCATGAGCGGGTCGCCGAATACTTGTTCGCGCAACACATCACCCCTCATGCGGCCACAGGGAGGAGTCCTGCGGAACTGCTTATGGGCCGCCGCCTCAGGTCACCGCTCGACCGGCTACACCCAGACTTTGCCGTGGCTGAACCCCCAGGCTGTGCCAACGCACCACGGTCATTCGTCCCGGGAAACCAGGTCTTTGCCCGGAACTATGTGGGGGACATCCCTTGGGTGCCAGCCACAGTAGTGGGAGTCACTGGACCTCGCTCGTACCAGGTGGCACTCGAAGACGGACGCTTGTGGCGATGGCACATAGACCAGCTTAGGCGCAGAGTTGGGGACTTGGACACTACCGAGGTGCCCCCAACTGCGCTTGCGGCTCCAGAAGAGACACGTACAGATGGCGAGGCCCCACCTACACCTCCCTCGCAAACTGCCAGCGTGGAGCCGAACCAAGCCGTTTCAGAACAGACTCAGACCACTCCACTTGCGGAGGCTCCACTCTCAGCAGCGGATCCAGGGGAGTTGGTTCCAACGCCACCTAGGGTCGCACCACAGCCTCAGCGAGAACTGTGTGGCCCTCCGGACTTGGCTACCAGTCCCCGGCGGTCTGGCAGAGTTTCCAAGCGCCCAACTCATTTAAAGGACTATGTTGTTGGACAGGTATCACTGTTGGTCTAAGTATGGGAAATGTAACCGATATGCTTTTGTGCCTAATTGAACCATTACGCGTAGTGCTGTATATAAGGAAACCATTACGATTGTAACTAACGCCTTATCTCGGTGGGGAGGGGTGTTATGTAGTGTAGTTTCACTCTGGGCCAACAGGGGGATACTGTATATAGTTTTCACTCAGGTCTGTAGATAGTTTTCACTCAGGTCCGCGCCAGTTATTTTAGGCGGGAACTCTGGGCTGTTGTGGTTACAATGTTGACAGCCGGCTGCCTATAAATACAGGCCGGCTGAGCTGTTCGCAGTCAGTTGTATTCCAGCTTACCATAATAAAGAGCTACTTGAAGAAATCGCTGTGCCGGCTGCTATGTCAACCCACGACTTAACAGCTTTGATAGTGTTACAGGGTAGTCTGGATGACTACTCAGGGGTCCCCTCCAACTTGTGATCCTGTATTTATGAGCTTAGAATCTATAAGAAGAAACCTGCTGAACCAGCCAAAGAACTTCCTTTGTTAAGGTAATGGCTTCAGCTGGCCAGTTAAGTACTTCCATTTGCATGTCCAAAGAGTGAGCTCTGTTGCCACACAGACTAATGGGCAAGACTTCCCATCTTACCTGGATGCCATCATAAGAAGGAGAACAAGAAGTCAGGAGGACTGGGCGTGAGTTTTTGGCTGACGCTGGGAGTTGGAGACACAGAGGCTTGTCTTCTTCTGTGCTGAACAACTCAAAGCTGTAGCTTGAGGCATCCACGGAAGCCAATCTCAGGTTATGTGCCAGAACCCCTTGACTCTCACCACTCAGAGATTGGGGTGAATGCAAAAATATTTATTCCCTACGTACCCCAAAGGTTCAATGAGATGTGCAGAGTGTCTCCTCATGGACAATTTCCAGCACCTTCCCCAGTTTCCAGGACTCTTTGGGGAAACCCTTCCACTTAAAACTGGGTTTATAAGTGATATAAATTTGTAGCGTAGGATTGTGGCACCCCCTCCCATTTTTTTTTCATTCTCTTTCTTCCCCTCTCCTTTTCAGGATCCAGAGCGACCAGAACTTTCAGAATTCCTTAAAATGGTACAAGATATGCAAGATGTACCATTTGGGCTCTGCACCTCCTCTAATGTTCTTTCCCATTATAATGTCACAACAAACACCATCTCCCTCTTCCGTATGGTAGGTTTTTGTTTTTTCGCTTGTAGTTCTGCTGCTTCCAGCAAACAGGTCAGTGGTGGCTGATGCCCATTGGAATTGGTAGGGTAGAAGGCAGGGAGGCCAACAGCAGGTGGCGCCATAACCAAGGACAGGCCAAGCCAACTGATTCCAGTCTTTAACCTCAGTATAGAACTCAGTAAAGAGTTCTATAACAAGCAACACTGAGGCAAGGAGGAGGAAGCTGATAAGCCATTCTAACCCCCTGCTTATAAGTAAGAAGGCAGGCAGGTGGAGGGTGGCTAAGTCATACTAACGTTGGTGAACAGGGCTCTATTCACCCCAATGAAGAAGCCTTCACTGATCCAGGTGCTGCTGTAACTTGGTGTGTTAACTGGGTTCTCTTCTTCCAACAGTCTCTTGGTAGAAATCAATATTATACTCAGAAGGACAGGCTAAGTCTTTCCAAGAGCAACAAAAAAGACCTGGAATGCGCTAGGTAGGAATGTTGGCCATGAAATCTATACGCTCTACATACAAAGCGTGAAGAGAACAACCCCTCCTCTCTTTCTTTTAAAGGTCAATGGAATATTTTGGAAGGACTTTAGTTCAGCTACAACTTTGCTAAAATGAAGATCAAAGGCTTGCAATCCTGATTAACATATGCCCAGTAACCATAGACTTGTAGACTTTGGCAAGATACGTATGACTGTCTCATTAAAAACAAATCCATGTCAGCTGCCCTGTGGCAATTACTAGAACCTCTACATAACACTTGACCACTGCCTTGCTGTTCTAAGATTGAACGGTCACACGCATCTGACTTTCCTGTGCAGTGAGAAGGTCCAGGGGTGCAGAACTTAAGCAGAGTTTGATTTCTTTGGATCAAGAGATCAGTGGAGCCGCATAGTGTGGATACGGGTCATCGGTTTAGGAATCAGGCAGAAAATGTAAACAGCTTGTCTATGGACACCCTTACATGGAAAAATCAGATCTAAGCAACTTGTGCAAGATAACACCCCTGTCTGGACACAGCCAATCAGTTTAGGCTAGGTTTTTTGATGGATACATTTCCCCCTGTTTTCCTACCCTGATTGCTCCTTCAGACAACTACTAGAATTCTCTCCCACCCCAAAAATATCATTGCAATAACTGTTTCAATTATTGCCATGCAAAACCACAAGTAAATAAATAATAGATTAAATTGCTGTTTTAGATTAAAAGCATCCAGGATTTATTTATTTTTAAGTCATGCTCCAATGGATGCCCTCTGGGGCTAGGGTCCCAATCTCAGCAGGTATAAGTCTATTAGCAAAAAACACTCACCAACAAGGGCTGCAGATGCAGAGCAGTCCAAGCAAACCCCAGAAAAGCAGTCTCGGAACCAAAACATGATCCAGAGGCAAGGCAACAGTCCAAGATCAATATCACAGGGAGTTCAGGCGAGATACAACACCGCAAAGGAAATAACAAAGAGCCAGAGTCCTGTGTTGTTTCCAGCATCTGGAAAGCCCCAAAGCGAAACCTTATACATGCTGACCTCCTACCACATCCTAAGCACAGCTGCTAATAGTGAAGGTGTTCCAGACATTGCTTACTTAGAAGGAGACCCCTTACAAGCCACATGGCGGATCTGTATCTGTAGATACAAGCTACATTGCTGCCATTCAGCTCCCTCAGCTCTGGACCTTGAGGACCTCAAGTGTTCTTGAGGACTAGATGGTGGTGGCTTCTCCTATGACAGCCCATTGTTGGTTTCAATGGACCCTTCCTGCTCCTCCAGACCCTTGGCCAGTGGTGTGTCTGATGTGTCCTCTGAGAACCCCCTGACTGACACCAGGTTGGGGCTATGCATGAGAGGTAGCCATAGTGATGAAGACCCTCAGAGGGAATAAGTTAGCTTAGGGATCAGCAAACTTTTTCAGTAGGGGGCTGGTCCACTGTCCCTCAAACCTTGTGGGGGGCGAGACTATATATATACAGTCCACACCAGACCCAAACCCAGACCCTCTCCACAGATAAATTACAGACACCATCCAGTAGCCAAACCATGGTGGCACCTCCGGATGCTGCACCCCCCTGCAATCCCTACACAGATCTGGCTGGCACAGGCCACAAAACCACAGCTCGCCCCTATACACGAAGCCAATCCAGAGCACAACTAAGTGCAGTACAGCCATCTTCTCAGAAAAACTCTTCACAAAGTTCAAGAGGTCAAGACACGAAGGCTTTAGCAACTAATCCACACCTAATGACCCACCTAAGTGGTACTCAGGATATCACTCAAGAAATCACTCAAGATATCCCTCAAGTAATTAAGGAACAAAAGAAGAAAAGGCACACTAGCCTGGGAACTTCCTCTCTGCCCAGAACATTGGAGGCTATACACCACACCTCCTCAACAGTATTTATAGGAACTCAAACACTGAGATCCTGCTCTGTTCCAGTAACAAGAAGCCGAAAGCACCAGCCTGAAGATGACGAGTGAGACCTCGTCGAAACGTCGCCTAGACACCCCAACTTTTACACGGGAAGACACCCGAGGACACCAAAACCTGCATATATATATATATATATATATATATATATATATATATATATATATATTTTGGGGGGGAATGGACAAATTCCTATGCCCCACAAATAACCCAGAGATGCATTTTAAATAAAAGCACACATTCTACTCATGTAAAAACACGCTGATTCTGATTCCCGGACCATCCGTGGGCCGGATTTAGAAGGCGAGTGGGTCGGATCTGGGCCCCGGGCCTTAGTTTGCCTACCCATGATTAGCTGGTGCGCTCACCTCCCTTCCATCTCTCATAGGGCAGGCTATAGTCTATGGTGTGCTGCTGTCCCACCGCTATCAAACGTATGTTTAACTTGAACCTGCAGGACAAATAAAAGAGCAGCAGGAAGTGACTCCTGGGCATGATGTCCATTAGGGGAATCTGCTGGATCAGACTAATTCAAATGCACAGGACTTCCTGGAGTAAGCCATTAAGCCTATGGGTGGTGGTGAAGTGAAATAAAATTATGTCTGAATATCTTTTTTTAAACCCTGCACATAGAAAATGGACATGCTTGTGTAGAGCAGCATCCCTTTCTCTGGTAGCTTTCTATTGATGGTCAAACTATGGAACTCGCTCCCAATTGGATGGCTTCTTTTAATGTGGATTACACAAATTCATGGAGGAGACGGCTGTCAAAGGCTACAAACCATGACTGGAGGCAGCAATGCTTCTGAATACTAGTTGCTGGGGTGGCACAGGACGGAAGAGTACTCTTGCGCTCGAATCTTGCTTGTTGGTTTCCCACAGGCAACTTAACAGTGCAGCCACTGTGAGAGCAAGCTGAGGGACTAGATGGGCCACTGGCCTGATCCAGAAGGTTCGTCTTAAGCTCTTATGCTGTTGGTGTTTCATTCAAGCAAGTGTTCTCCTTCCTGCAAGCTGAAGTAGCATTATTCAAGAAGGCGACTGCTGTTGAAGTTTGGTAAACATGCTACAGAAAGGAACAGTCAGGTTAAGACCGCTGGTAGAAACTTAAGGTTGATTAGTGGGGGCAGACAAAGCCATTCTGAGCCCAGGCTCCACATGTGGCCAATGAGGAGATGCTGGCACATGCTAGCTCATCCTGCAATTGGCTTGAACTAATGAAACTTAGGGAGGAAACAGGCAGGCCTTAAGTTATCTACCTTACCAACAAACTTGTTTTCTCCTGCTCTGGAGGGTAGGACTCGAACCAATGGATTCAAGTTACAAGGAAGGAGATTCCAACCAGATGTGTAGAAAACCTTTCTGACAGTAAGCGCTGTTCGATAGTGGAATGGTCTCCCTCGGGAGGTTGCGGACTCTCCTTCTTTGAAGGTTTTAAAGCAGAGGTTGGATGGGCATCGGTCATGAATGCTTCAGCTGAGATTCCTGTATTTCCGGAGGTTGGGACTAGATGACCCTTGGGTTCCTTTATAATTTACTTAAGGAGGAATCCGCGAATGAAGAATAGCTTGCCTTTCTGTCTATTGCTGCTGCCGCCCAGTTCTGGTAAAATATTGCAAGTCTTACTGCTTGACTCCCATCAGTTAGCACACTCTTACTTTTGCTTTATGTTGGCCCTTCGTGGCAAGTCCATTTCCCCCCTGAACAAATGCCCAAGGCAGGGACAGATCAACTAGTGTTACCTTCTAGGCTGGCTCTCTCTCTCTCACCTGGCTGCCCATGCTCTCTTCATCCTCCCTCTGCTACTTGCCCTTCCTGCCACTAGGCTAGCCTGGCAGAGCTTTGCTGCTGATTTCCAACTCTCTTCAGCCTTTACCAGTAGGGACTTTCAAAAGGGCTAGACAGCAAAATTCAAATCACACCAGTAACTGAGCTGTGGTCAGGAAGGTATCCCCCGCCACTCCCCTCTCTGTGGGAGAGGTGGCAAAGCTAACAATGATCTTATTTACTTACTGGCAGAAGCTGGAGAAGGGATGGAGGGGGTGTACAAACACAGCCCCCATTGGTAACCTGACATTGCAGTTCATAGCAGTGCACAGGAAATCCTTCAGCTTACTTTGCGTAGGCGTATTGGGAGCAGCTTCCTTGGCTAGGTTTGTTGTGGTCTTTTGTCAGCCCAGAAGCCATCAGGGAAGGAGGCGGCTTGCTGGGCTGTGTGTGCTGTGTGTGTTGGGGTCCGAATCCTGGGGCAGAGCAGGTTAGCGCTTCCAGTGCTGAAGAGAACTTGGTCGCTGCAGGCATAGATGCTTGCTATATCTAGATGTAGGGGTAGAGCGATGGGTTAGTTGTAGCTTCCAGTTTAGTACTGGAAGTTGACTATGGGTCACGCCAATCTTTTTCTTTATTAGGGAGCCAAGTCTCTATAAACAGCAGCAAGTCTCTAAAAAGCCCTTTATCCCAATTACAGTGGTACCTCAGGTTACAGACACTTCAGGTTACAGACGCTTCAGGTTACAGACTCCGCTAACCTAGAAATAGTACCTCGGGTTAAGAACTTTACCTCAGGATGAGAAGAGAAATCGCGCAGTGGCGGCAGCAGGAGGCCCCATTTGCTAAAGCGGTACCTCAGGTTAAGAACAGTTTCAGGTTAAGAACGGACCTCCAGAACGAATTAAGTTCTTAACCTGAGGTACCACTGTATAATAGTGGCCTTATTCCTCACAGCTGGGCAAGGTAACTTGGTTATGCCTTTGTCTGGGATTTTAAAATGTTGTGCAAGTTAGAGGCAGCTGGTAACCTATTTGGAATGGAATACTCTCACCTTCACTCCCAAATTTATGAAGTACAATGAAATGTGGCAAGTTTGTTAGGATGACTCACCATTAACTTTGTATGTAATTTCAACAGGTGTTACAAATGGAAACCAGATTTCACTGGCCTGTTTCCATTGGTCGTAACGTTCTTCTTCCAAAGACGCTTCAAAGATCTGTACTATGAGGGAAATAAACATCATCATTTGATTGTGGAAGGCCGACAACCTAAATACACCCTTCTAGATTCATGTTTGTCCTTAATATGAGATAAACAAATAGATGCAGCTAAAATTAAACTAGGTTGACAGAGTAGATATACAGCTTTGCCAATCGTCTTGCAAAAAAGTTGAAGAATTTATATAGTTCCCTCTCAGCCTGCCTTCCCTTGAATAAATTTGGAAGAAGTGAAAAGAGGTGTGGGGAACTGAGGCAGGAGTCCGGAACAAAATATCTGTAGAATTGTGAAAAAATGCATAAGAAAATGAATCTGACTGCAATTAATCAAACAATTATTGCTTCATTCAAGCAAGTCCAGCTGTGTTCAATGGGACTTATTCCCAGAAAAGTGTGGATAGCACTGTGGCCTTAAGTTGCAATCCCTCCTCGCTTGCCTGGGGAGTAAATGTCATTCAGTGCAGAAGGACCTAATTCTGGGTAGACATGGCTATTGTACTCCAGTCAAACTAATACAAGCAGTTTATGGCTCTGGCCCGGATTCTAAGGCCTATTGCTTTCAGTGAGACAAGCCTAATGCATTGTGATAAGAGTAGAACAGGGATTGTCAAACTTCTGCCACGCTTAACCCCCTTAATTGAAGAAAAGACTTAATTTCCCAGGAAACGTAGGTAAAATCTGCCCTGCTTGGAGTTATTTTGATAGGTTTGCTTTTTCTGCCTGTGCAACCCATTTGCATTTCCTCCCCTGTTCTTTCCAGGGTTCTCTTTGGCATGGGGTGAATTTGCATTTGGTGCCATTTTGACAGTTCCTATGGTTCTGTGAACGACGAATTCATATTTCTATTGACTTTTTAAAAACATCCCAACAGCTTCTACTTCCAAAGGGGAAGGCACTCTGCATATGCTCAGAAACACTGTGCGATTAAAAACAACAACCACAGACACACATTCCTGGTTCCCTTCATAAATAACTGTTTCTATGCATGTACCTGTGTTAGACCCTGTTTTAACCCCCCCCGACCTTTATGCACTTTGCATGTCTTCCAAGAACTTCAGCTTGAGATACCATCATTTTTTGCAATAAAAATTACATGACTCTTGAGCCCTGGCCCAATCCAGTGGGATTGGATGGGTCACACCACCCAGCGTATGTTTGTAGGTATGTCAATAGAAAACACACACACACATGATTTTTTTCTAGAACAGGGGGAAATGCAAAGCATTAGACTTGATCAATGTTCTTGCAGTAGTCTGCAGTCTATTCCAACCCCCAATGAAGACGCTTTCCATTGACTCTGGTGGTCCTTGGAACCATCCCAAAGTTTTATGTACTCTGGCTCACTTTAGTCTAGTGCCAGTCTAACACTCTTTACTTTCCATGGAGCTGCTCTTGTTTTCCTTCCAAGCTTGTGAGAGAAGACTCAGCCCTCAGTCCTCTCAGCTGTGGCCTGAACAGGGCTAGTAAGTAATGCACCAGAGTCAAGAACTAGCAAAAGAGGACTATGTTGGTAGACCTGTTTCTGGAAATGACAACTCCATTTATGGGGTATGACAGTATAGGATTTCTATGTGCCATTTCCTAAGTTCCATATATCTCGTCCATAATATTCTTTTAAAAAATAATCACAAGGATTCAGCTTTGCCTTGCTGGGCCCATGCATTAATTGAACACCTTATTATCCCTCTGGGATTTCTTGCCGAGTTTTTGTTTGCTGCCTGCCGGCCTATTAAGAGGTCCATCAGGAAGACAGATCCAGGAAGATGTCAAAGAATCTTTTCCAAAAAAATGGTATTTGTGGAGCCTGAATATTTTCTTTTCTTGATCTGCTGGAAAAATTCCTCTATTTATTGGAGAGGATTCTTGCTTGCACAATGTTTCCAGGAAATCCATACATGCCTGTGCCAGTGTTTATTAGGTTTAGAAGTAATGAAGTGAGCAGGCAAATATTTTCAAAAAGGGAAGAGATTTAGGTTGGTTTAAGATCCTTTTTCCAGAGGTCCCACAAATGTTTGCTTGCTAATCCCCATATCTCTAATGTCTAGGGAAATTGAATGCAACTGATAACAGCCACATCTGATTTTATTTTTAAAATGTTTCTATCATACCCTTCAGTTTATGGCAAAAGAGCAAATTAAAAAGTTTATTCGAGGCTCTGGGATAAATCAGTAGGATAGTCCTCATGAAAATCTTAGGTCAAAAGTGAACCATACACAGGAATGCATATTGTGTGTTTGTGGGAGTGGAAAGATAATGTGTTGCTGTCTCACAGCTGGGTTGCATGGAAATTAACCGTACAGATGAATTTTTTTTTTGGGGGGGGGCTGAGGTTGTAGAACTTCCATAATCTGGCTAAGGACCCCATCCTGGGCAGGTTTGGGTGCATCATACAAATAATTTACTGGGCCCAGAGACCCTGTTGGCTTTCCTGCCTCCCAGGACACATGACGTTGATTTTGCAAGTGTTTTAAGGGACAATGTCTGGGGCAGAGTGACAGCGCTGAGGCTATTTGCTTCGCTTCAGGTGGATAACAAGCGGCAAGACCTGGAAATCAAAGACAGCAGCGGAATTGACGCCACCAAGCTGAGTCGCTTTGTTCGGATCAATGAACTCCGCTGGGTAACCGAGTACAACCCTATGGTAAGAAAGGACCTCTCTATATCATGCTGGAGCTATACCTAGGCATTTGAATACCAAGTTCACTTTGGAGAGAACAAACACATGAAATTACTGCCCCTTTCTTGACCCCAGAATGAGTTAATTGAATAGTGGCAGGGATGGCCACCTACTTGGGTGGCTTTGAAAGACGAATGGACAAATCCATGGCTATCGATGGCTACTAGCCATGGTTGCTCTGCTCTGCCTCCACAGGTAGAGGCAGCAATGGTTCAGAACACCAGTTGCTGGAGACCACAGGAGGGAAGAGGGCTCTTGTGCTTGAATCCTCCTTGCAGGTTTCCTACAGGCATCTGGTTGTCCAATGTGAGAAGAGGATGCTGGACTGGGTGGGCCATTGGCTTGACCCAGCAGGCTTTCCTTACGTTCTGATGTCTCTCTCCCTAAGCTTTCCTTGCACTTCCTACCTGCTGCTCCTTCAACCTTCCCGTCTTCTGTGACGCTGGACCTCCCACAATGCTCCAAATCCCACAGCTCTTGAGCTGGAAGGCTCTTCGAGAAATGCACTCTCTGACCTTTTCTTGTGAATTCTGGAACACACACACACACACACACACACACACACACACACACACACTTTCTCTTCTTTTTATTGACACAGAGCCTCTCTCAACCCCCACCCCCCACCCTGCCAATCTCCCTGTGGGTGGGTGTAGCGCACAGGGAGGCGGCAGGTCAGCTGTAGGGTGTCCACAGGCCCTTGTTTGGCTTGTGGGAGAAGGGTGGGGGGAAAGTGCAAGGGGAAGGAAAAAGTCAGATGACAAATTATCCGCCGACGGGAAACTATGCGAGGAGCCCATTGGCAGTGCCAGGTGACTTGAGGCTCTTCACAGAGAGCTAGTGTGTGCAGCTCAGTCATTCCCAGTGATATATGGAGAGTTCCAGGTCTACTTTCCATGTTGTTAGCATCCAGTCTGCTTGGACTTGTGGCTTTCAAACACAGTTCAGATCGGTGTTGAAATGTTTTCCAGGCTATGTTTTTCTAAATGGGAATGATAGCATCAGAAAGGTATACTTGTGTGTGTGTGTGTGTGTGTGTGTGTGTGTGTGTGTTCTTGGTTGCCATTGCAGTGGTAACACTTCCACAGGATTTTCCATCCTTTGCTTCTTAAGGTTTGCAGTCTGACTCAGAGAAGCAGCTTAAGCCAAATGGTGGTATATATCACGTTTAGAATAAAGACTCACATAAGTTTTTTTAAAAAATAGGAAATATAGAATTCCATGGTGAAGAAAATTCCATGGGTAAAGAAAATACATGGAAATGGAGCAGTGAAGGCTGCATTCTCGCATGCTGGGAGTAAGTCCCATTGAACTCAGTTGGGCATCCTTCTAGTTAAAGAGGTAATGGACTGAGCTGAAGATCTTAAAAGCTGTGTTTGACGGGGCAGCCAGCAACCTTTAGGGCAAACACAAAGACATAACATTGATGAACATTAAAAGGACAACTGGGATCTGCAATCTCAAATGTGAACTAGAGAATCAACTTTGTCAAATGCAAACGAACAAGCAAACAAACAAACAAGCCCCCACCCTCGATATATTCTTGTTCTATGCTCATGATGCTAATAACAGGGCAGTCACATGAGGCCCTACTTTCAATACTGTTTGTGCTTGCAAAAGTTTTAGGGTGGTAACCCTGCTTCACTTCCACACCCCTTAATTTCCTGCCAAAATCTCATAATTTTTAATACCACAAATGTTCCGGTGTATTTTGGTCTGGCTTTTCTTGCGATATAACCACTTGGACAGCAATAATGTGGTAGCATAGGGGATGCATCTCAAAACAAACAAAATCAGGATAAATCCACCACTGTTATTGTGTCAAGGTCGATATCCTGTTGCAGAATACACAGCAACCATCATCACCATCATCATCATCATCCATCTGGAGAGGACCTTGATTTAAAATATCAAGCTTTGTCTTTTTTTTAAAAAAATATTGACTTCCTTAAAAAATAATGATGCTTAATTGCTTTTATTCTTACAGGTTAAACAACAACACAAATACAACAAAAGGCGCACACACCCCTTAGGAACTAAATCTTTAATTCCACCATCAATTTGGGTCTTGGATTTGTGTTTTTGAGAAAATCTTGAGTTTCCAAATCCTCACCTCAAACATATTCTCTTACAAGCAACTCTTAAAACACACACACACACACACACACACACACACACACACAGAGAGAGAGAGAGAGAGAGAGAGAGAGAGAGAGGTTTTATTACTGTTTTGAACAATTATAGTAAGATACAAAAAAAATATAAATAGGAGAAGTCAAAATAGGAAAGGAGGATGTTGGTTAATGTGGCTTGACCTTAGAAATTGTTCATGTACAACAAATGCTTACCAACTGCCTATGCTTCGCTTTTGTGGATGTCAAGCTCAGTATGCAGCCATTGAGGGCTGGGGGTGGGCTGCAGCCAATAGCACAGTCTTGTATGGACTTATCCACCTGTTTGTTATTCGAAGAAGGTGTTGAGAGACCTCTTCTTTTGCTTGAATTCAGGCATCTATTGGCCTATGTCTGAATCCAGCAGTTCTAAAAAGAGGACACCTGTGAATTCTTCTAATTTGTGGGTTTTTGTTTTTTTGCCAGTTTAACAAATACAATGTGCAGACACAAAGAGGAAAACAGTTGAGGGTTGATAAATAGATTAATCAGAGCAAAACTGATCAATGTTCTGACAAATCAAGTAACACCTAGCTTACTAACCATCTTAGCTGGCCTTGCCTGAACTTTGCGCAGATTCAACTGCACCAGCTCTACTTCATCCTGAAAAGTAAATCACCTCTGCTCTTTGCCTCTCTGCTTTTAATCCATTGCATTCTCCTTTTTTATTTGGATACAAACTCAAGGGAGCATTGTCATGAAACTTAAGGCCAGCCTTATTTTTTCAGTGTTTTAGGTTTTAGGGCTTGGTGCTCCAAGAGTGCCTCAGATCTCACATTCCCTAATCAACCTATTTCTTCATCTCTGATATATTGACAGACTGCAGTAGGTCTCTTTAATAGCACCATTCAGACCCACCTTCTCTTGTTCACTGACAAGTCATCCCCAAAGCATGCGGAGATGATGGACAAGTATCGTGAAGCAGCAGTTCTCTTCCAAGGGAAGGTAAGTCTGATGTGACCTGGGGTGCAAGGCTTTTTTTTAAATCCTTCCAGACAGAAGCAGTAATTTATGCTTGGGCAAGCCATGGTCTAAAGCAGGGTTGACCACTGGCAGAGGAAGAGGGTGCGAGGGGTGCGGTCCACACCGGGTGTCATCAGTGGGTGGGTGACAAAATGAGTTTAAAAATAAAAAATTGGGCTCACAAAACTTTTAGGAGTGACGTGGTGGCTTAGGTGCCTGCAGGTTCCATGCTGCCTAAAACGGCAGCGTGGGACTTATCTCCTTCCTACTGCCTCTCCCTCAGCCGCGCTATAGCTGAGGGGGAAGCGGCGGAAAGGCTCCAAGCATCGGAGAGGCTCGTCCGGCCCCATGGGCAGCTTGCCCCGCTCCCGGCTGCAGGACACGTCCCCGTACCAGGTGCCCAAGCAGCTAGCTATGCTGCTGGGGTTGACACCAGCTGTTGGCATCAACAAGCACTTGCCAAGACTCACTCCCCAGTAGCAGCAGGCGAGCAATGAAAAGGAGAAGGAACTAACTTCACACACTTTGTTCTCCCCGCCCCCCTGCTCAGGAAATCATGCCAACTGAGCCCAGGGGTGGCAGCAAGGAATGGACAGTGGCAACAGGAGATATGGGCCACATCTATGCCTTTAAAGCGCTATTATACCACTTCAACAGTCTTGGCTTCTCCCAAAGCATCCTGGGGATTGTAATTTCTTAAGTGTGATGAGAGTTGTTAGGAAACCCCTATTCCCCAGACAGAATTACAATTCCCAGAGTGGTTTAACAATCAATCCCTCTTCCCAGGGAACGCTGGGAATTGCAGCTCTGTGAAGGGAATAGGAACCTCTTTCTTTACAATTCTCAGTAACCTTAACAATTGCAGTTCCCAGGGTGCTTTGGAGGAAGCCAAGTGGCATAAGAGTGCTTTTAATGTCTGGTGTGGATGTAGCCCAGGAGAACGGTCATGGAGATATGAGATTAGAATTGAAAATAACTTTGTAGAATACATGAAAACTCATTGGGGAACTTCTGGTTTAATACTAGTAGTCACTTGCCAAAGTAGAAATGCTATGTATTTCAAAAGACTTTTGGGATCCATTTCCTTCGCTGATGGCCAGCTTCCATTTTTATTATATATCTGAGTCACAACTCTGGAAAAGAACTTGGAGTGGCCAATGGCACTGCTGCTCCTGTTCCGCTGGCCACCTCCTGATGTCTCTGAATATTCCATATGCCTGAAGAACTTTCTTCAAATGGCAGCACAACCCTCCCTCGGACTTGCCAGGTGAACTGCGCTGAGGACACTGAGTCAGAATTTCAGAGCTTATAATGTCGTAGAGGTTTCTTTGTTGCTTCTGTTTAAATTACTGACCTAAACACCAGGGGCTTCAGAAACCTGTAGGTGATCTCATGTGAATTCTTTCCCCCAGCTTTTCAGTTCCAAACATCTTCTACACAAATGTTATTTTAATAGGTGAAAAGACTTCTGAGACATTCAGGATCAAAGGCTGGTGTTTGGGCAGGAGCAGGTCCAACAATCTTTGCCTAAAGTCCATGGCGCTATTATGCGGAACCCATATTAAAGACAGAGCTTCATAACTGTCTGGTCCACATAGTCTAGCTAGAATCAAACATGGGGAACACACAGCTCTGAGTCACTCTCCCCATCCCATCCCCCAAACCATGCTTTCCCATCTCTTATTATTATTTGCATACAAAAGACCAAATGTGGGGAAGCTCAGAGATCGAGCAAATGCTTTGCATGCACAGGGTCTCAGATTCAGTCTCTGGCTTCTCCAAGTGGAGGTGGGGAAATTCCTGATGGAAATTTAAATGAAGAACAGAATAGGGTGGCATGACCAGAAGCATTTATCTTTTCTAAGTGAGTAATGGTAGATGGAAATGCATGACTTTGGGATGGGAAGTGATATAGGGCCACTCTAGACTTTTTGTTTTTGCAGATGATACTATCACGAGCACAAATCATAAGAAATGACACATAAAAAGGATGTCTGGAGGAACCCCTAAGGATGGTCATTCCACACTTTTGATTGCCCAGACCCCCCTTGTCAATTGGCCTTGCCTCTCATTCCTCTGTCCCCTCTGCTAATTCAGGTTTGCTATTTTCAGTTAGAGGAGATTGCAAGGCTGGCCCATTTTGCTGCTCAAGACAAAACAGCAACACACACATATACCATTCCTCAAGTCAAGGTGCATAGTACCCAAAGCTGATTCTGACTACAGATGCACACAATGGTATTCCCTTCACCGTGGTGCTTCACAGAAAGGTCTAAACCCATCTGGCCAGACCAGAACCCCCAGTGTTACCTGCCCTCTCTGCTCTTCAGATCTGAAAAGCAGAGAGGATGTGATTTCCTCCACTTCCTGCCACTGGGTTGACTGGTGAGGTTTGAATCCCCATGTCTAGCCCAGCTCCATGATGTTACTGCTGTGTGTCTGATAGGCCACAAAACGTGGTTTGGGGGCAAGATCTGGCCCGTAGGCCAACAGTTTGCAATTATCTAGGTTACTGGAGCTCCTCTGAGCTCTCATAATCTGTGTGATAACATTCATTTGCCTGTGTGAGCATTCTAAAATATCTCTATGCCTTTCCTATTGCCTCCTTGAAGATTCTATTTATCTCAGTGGACGTCCGTGCAAAGGGCAATGACAGGGTTATGTCTTATTTTCACCTGAAGAAGTCTCAGCTGCCTGCACTGGCTGCATTCCACACTCCAGATGAGGAGCAGGAGGTGCTGTCCATGGATGAAGTCTCCCTGGAGACTGTAAGGGGTTTTTGCAATGGTTTCTTACGGAGAAAGGAATTGGTGAGTGCACAGGATGACAACTGGGCTGACCAATCACAGCTTTCTGCTCCATTATCAACCCCACCCCTTGGAAATGTTGTTTTCACTTTCCCACTTCAATCTGTTGTCTAGTTTTATACATGACACAGCTGGTAGTGTTTCAGAGCAATGCTTTTGCGCCTAAATAATAAACAGAGGGGGACACGGGTGGCACTGTGGGTTAAAGCCTCACTGCCTAGGACTTGCCGATCGAAAGGTCGGCGGTTCGAATCCCCGCGGCGGGGTGCGCTCCCGTTGCTCGGTCCCAGCGCCTGCTAACCTAGCAGTTCGAAAGCACCCCCGGGTGCAAGTAGATAAATAGGGACCGCTTACTAGCGGGAAGGTAAACGGCGTTCCGTGTGCTGCGCTGGCTCGCCAGATGCAGCTTGTCACGCTGGCCACGTGACCCGGAAGTGTCTCTAGACAGCGCTGGCCCCCGGCCTATAGAGTGAGATGGGCGCACAACCCTAGAGTCTGTCAAGACTGGCCCGTATGGGCAGGGGTACCTTTACCTTTACCTTAATAAACAGAGGACCAAACTAGATGTGATATTAAGTATATCTTTACACTTTTTTTTTTTAAAAAGCAAATATCAGACTGGGGGGGGGGGCAGAGAGGATTGATGATTATCAAGGCAGCCACTGGTGGTGATGGAGGTGTTTAACACTTTGCTGGAATGCTAAGGTCTCTTATTGGTGCCTATGGAGGATTTCCTTCCAATGTAAATAACAGCTATTAAAGGGCTATTTTCATCAGGGCTACTCCTGGGGAGGAAAGGGTTAAACCCACTCATCCCTACCAGGTGAGATTCTGATAACTGTCAGCCCTCCCAGTGCCTGTTTTTAAAATAATGCAGTCTAAATGCAGAGATGTATTTAACTCATCCTAAGTAATGCAGATCATTTCTGACATAGCAGGTACCATGTGCATCCCCATCTATCAACATAGTTCTGAATTATTGGTGGGTCATAGGAGTGCTATTGCATCAGTGATCAAGCATAACCATTCATAGCTTCCCCTGAGCCGTTCAGAGTCACATCTTCTTGGGTGCTTGTGAAATCTTCTCTATCGCTTCCCTAAGAAAAAGTGTCCATGTAGAAACTATCTCTGTGTAGCTCAGTCTATCATGGAAGTAGAATAATTTCTCCTTCTGAAAAGCTGTGCAGTCTCAAAAGATTTAGAGATCTGTGCTAAAAATAATTTCTTAAATCTGAAATTATAGGATTGGAATAAATTATGCAAATGGAACAAATGTGAACAATTACATTCAGTTTGTATGTTTTCTCCTCTGGCTACACAGCTTGATTTTTCTCCTCCCCCCCCCCGCGCCCCGCAATGGAAATGTTTCGTTCCGTTGTTTTTATTTTTGTTTTTCCAGGATTTGGGTAAGGAGGTTTTGGACTCATGGAAAACTGGGGAATTGTGGTGGAATATACATGCAAGAGTCAGGGCACAGGGACTCCAGATGATGGGGAAAAGTTTGGGAACTGGCAAAAGCAACTCTGCCTCATTTCCTTAAAAAGGAAACCTTAGGAATTATGGGGCCTGCTGTGTTGTGGAGACAGAAGAGATCCACTAGGGAATGGATCTTCAGAATATCTCGGTGCCAAGTTTATCTGCACAGATTTTTTTCCTCCTAATTCCTGTCTTGCTCTTTAATCTTGATGCGAAGCGAGTCCCCTACCTCCTTGTTCTGCTAAAAAATGAAAAAAATCATTGTATGTATAATATTATAGGCATATGCACTCCAGATTTCCTACAGTAACCAGCAGATAACAGGTAAATACAGCGATACAATAAAATTTTATACAATTACAGCAGAATATATATATGCAACGGGGGACGCGGGTGGCGCTGTGGGTTAAAGCCTCAGCGCCTAGGGCTTGCTGATCGAAAGGTCGGCGGTTCGAATCCCCGCGGCGGGGTGCGCTCCCGTCGTTCGGTCCCAGCGCCTGCCAACCTAGCAGTTCGAAAGCACTCCCGGGTGCAAGTAGATAAATAGGGACCGCTTACTAGCGGGAAAGTAAACGGCGTTTCCGTGTGCGGCTCTGGCTCGCCAGAGCAGCGATGTCACGCTGGCCACGTGACCCGGAAGTGTCTTCGGACAGCGCTGGCCCCCGGCCTCTTGAGTGAGATGGGCGCACAACCCTAGAGTCTGTCAAGACTGGCCCGTACGGGCAGGGGTACCTTTACCTTTTATATATATGCAACAGAGATTTCCTGCCTTCAGAGGTCTTGTATGAGTGATGGTAGGGAAACTAAAATGGTATAAGAGATTAGCCCCCATATTAATGTGGCTCAGCTGGTAGAGCATGACACTCTTGATCTCGGGCTTCTGGGTTGGAGCCCCATGTTGGGCAATGATTCCTGCATTGCAGGGGCTTGGACTAGATGGCTCTCAGGTAACTCTACAATTTCTACGGTTCTATGCACAGCGAGAGACACCAAGGGCTCTTTCAGGATCTCAAGTGTCTCCACTCCCAGTTCATCTTTCCACAAAAAAATCGTTATGTTGACGTGGTTCCTTTTGTTCTGCTTTATTTCAGAAAGAAAACTCTAAGCCAGAGGATAAGATCTTCAAAGAGGAACTCTGACTCTGTTCCAACAGCCTCTAGCCACAACCTAATTCCTGCTGTAGTTCTGTGCATACTCTTGTCCTGGGGGGTTGGGGGATAATCAGCAGCAACCAACAGTCACACAACAGAAATGTGCCAGACCATGTCAGCTGAGTTCAATACTTCCTTGATTCTCCCATAATGCTCACATTGGCCAGACCCACACTATACCTCTGGCTTTCACCAGAGATATATGGGAACTGTAGGGTTATTTGGGAGAAGTCATGTGCTTTACATGTGCATTGAATATGCTTTAAAGGTATAGTCTGGGTCTGCCCATTGCCTTTCCTACTTTACCAGCTCCATCTTTTCAGTTTTGTTCTTTGATAATTCAAGCTCTGCCCTGTTTTGCAAACAATGAGATTAAGGGCTGCTGGATCTGCTAGCTTTGGCAGGCTGCCAGGTAGTTGGCTCTTGACATTGCAATGCCACGTTAGTGGTGGGTTATTCTATTTTAGTTTGTTCTGCAATGCTTTCCCTACACTGCCACATTATTGCTGTCTGGAGGGGCTATAGTGCAACAAAAGTGGAACAAAAATAAAAAGAACATTTGTGGTATAATAAATACGGGATTCTAACAGGAGGTTACAGGATATGCACAGACTGGGAATAAAGCAACGTGACCAAACTTTTGCAGGCACAAACAGTAGTGATAGCTCATGTGTGAGCCCCCCATTAGCATAATGATATAATCATGAATGTACAATGTGCAATAAAAGGGTGTCTGAAGAGTCCCACCTGGGAAATTATTGCATCAAAATTGGGGGCGGGGGGGGGCGGGTCAGGAAAGACTCATGATTAAGGCATGAGACAGCTCCTCTCCAGGATCTTGTAATAGCCACTTGAAGGAAAATCTTACAGCAGTACATCTTTGAGGCCTAAACCTGGATGTATTTAATTAGTTGGTTGTTTCTTTAAAGCACTCTTTAGCTGAAGTGCCTCCTGGAGCAGCTTTATAAATGTTAAGTTGTGGCGAACATATCAGACGACACAGCGATTCTTCCAAAGCAGCTCTTTATTTGTAAGCTGGACAGAACTGAACTGAGGAGCTCAGTCAGCCTGCTTATATAGAGCTCCAGAACAATGTAACTGTTGCAACTTTCTAAAACTATCCAATCACTGAACGTCACTTTCGATCCTTCATTTGCATAACTATCTACAGTATCCCAGGGTGCTGGCCCAGTGCTGGCCCAGGGTGAGAACTTCAGTACATAACAATAAAGATTCCCAAAGAAAACAGGATGGGGAAAAAGCAAGCTCAGCCTCCAGGTCTTGAAAGTTATGGTTCTTATAACAACCAGCTGGCATAGAAACAGTTCAGGAAGCCGGATGGGATGGCAGCTGTTAGGTGAGAGTTGCATTAAGTCTTGTTTCCCACCCCAATCTCCAAGCAGTGTGGAAATCTAGGGGGTTCAGGCTCGGTTTCCTTGGAAAGAGGACAGCGGAGACTGTAGTGTCTTTATGATACATGGTTTATTTACACATATATCTAACCTGAGCCTACGATGCAGATCAAAGCATTAGCACTCCAAGGGGCTCTTGCTTCTCCATAGTCACAGCCTTGGATCAAGCAGAAATCAACCTCTGGTTTCTGCCAGCAGCCTCCTTCCAGCTCTCTCTCACACAAGTGGCTTTTGTCTTTCTCACTACCAGCAAGGTGAGGAAGAAAGCCCCATCCATTTGCCCTCTGACACGGAGAAACTTCGCTGCCATACTAAGGACTGTACAGTACTTACCGGTACATAAATAGTAATGAGAACCCTTGGCTAATTCAACAATGGAATCCTGAATTAGATTTTAGCCCTTGCTGGACCTAGGATTCCAGGATCACAAGGATTCTGGCATCATGCAGGCTGACCGCCCCCCGCCCAAACCTCACAACAGTATTATGGGAACAAAAAGCGTTGCTTGGTCCAATTCAATACTTAAGATTTTTTTTTCTTCAGCAAGGGTATATAAAATGCATCCTGTCAGAGACTCCAGCTAAAAGGTAGTCTGCAAGGGCTCACTTTACAACAGAATTGTAAAAATGTAGTTGGCCGGGGGGGGGAAGGTTATAGCTGACTGGCTTTTAACTGAGTACTTGCTGAGTCAGACTGCTGAAGAGTGGGGAGGGGGAAGGCTGCTACACTCCAGAACAGCTGCGCCGCCCGTTCCTATTCCGGCCACCCACACGGTGTACAACTACTTGTTGTTCGCCGATCCGGACGCAGACAATATTAACTAAGCGCCAGCTGCCTGCTGTGATCCGAGACCCATGAGGGTGGACAGCCCTCGACGGCCGTGGAAAGCTGTCCTGTTTGCCACAGCCCAGCGGGGGACTGGAGGCCGTGCCGCCTTCTACTCGAGGAAGCTCAGCAAGTCGGAGCGAATAACCTACTCTGGGACAGGGGTTGCTAGCCATACATGCAGCATTCAAGGCATGGGCGGCGCTTCCCTCATTGGAGCCAGACACACAGTGCAGGTCCACACGGACAAAAAATCTGAGTACTGGCGCACGGCTAGGTTCTCAAACCAGAGACACATTAGATGGGCAAGAGTTCTTCGCGGACTTCGACTTCAAGATAGAGTACATTCCAGGCGACAACAACGTGATGGCGGATGCATTGTCCAGAAAGCGCAATACCTTGAGGAGGCGGCAAGGCGGCGGCCAAGCACATTTTCGCACCGGAAGCGTGGGCATGCGCGTCGGCAACCGTGGACCTGGCCGCTGTACGTCGTGGCCTGCGGGAAGACGCCCTTCGCACGGGCAAGATGGAGGAGGTGCACAGGGGCACAGCGAGGGCCGACGATTTCCAGATACGCGATGGTTGCTCCTCCACAGGGAGCACTCTACGTGCGGCGAAGACGACCTCCGCGCAAGGGTACTGCAGCAGCTACACGACGCTCCCACCGCCGGGCACTTTGGCAAAGAAAAGACTGTGAACTAGTGCCCAGAGACTTTTGGTGGCCCAAGATGCGGGGGGAAGTGAGGATAGTACTCGAGATGTGACACCTGCCAAAGGGCCAAGTCAGTTCACACCGCCGGCGGACTGCTGGAACCGTGCAGACACCGTCTGAAACCATGGGAAGGTTGGCCCTGGACTTCGTCACGGAGCCCCAGCTCGAGGGGAAAGAACAGCAGTGCTAGTGTGGTGGACATGTTTACTAAAAATGGCACACTTCATTCCGTGGTGCGAAGGTAGCCACGGCAGAGCAGACCGCCAAACTGTTCATAGACCACGTGTTTCAAAGTCCACGGTCTGCCACGGTCTATCCTCTCCGACCGGGGGCGACAGTTCATCTCGAACTTCTGGCAGAAGCTGATGGGCATTCTGAACGTCAAAGTCAATTTGGCGTCGCGAAGACACCCACAGACCAACGGGCAAGCGGAGAGGGTCAACGCCATCATGCAGCAGTACCTGAGATGCTACGCCAATCAGCAGCCCACGACATGGGTAGACTACTGCCACTCGCCGAGTTCGCTTACAACAATACGAAGCACGTGTCGACGGGGGTGACGCCGTTCTTCGCAACAACGGAAGGCATCCCAGAACTTCCCCGGGTTTAGAAGAGAATGGGGGAGGGGGAGCCACAGGCAGCGGAGGCCTTAGCGTCGGAGTTGCAGGAAGTCCACGAACAACTCAGGAGGCAGTTAGAACTAGCAAAGCATGCATACAAGTGCAGGCGACAGCACAGAAGGGTTGGGGAAGACATACAGGTGGGAGACTGGGTCTGGTTAGCAGCGCAAGCAGTGCCGACCAGATCGTTAGCGAAGAAGAAGCAGGACATAAGCAGCTAGGACCTTACCAAGTCCAGGCTCAGGTCAATCCAGTGGCCTTCCGTTGGCTCTTCCGGAAGGTTCCAGAATGCATCCAGTGTTCCATAGATGGTGCTCACGCCCTACAAAGCACCTCATAGATTTCAGGAGCCAGACACAGCACAGACCCGCTCAGAGAAGGGCCAGAAAGGGGGGTCGCCAAGGAGGGTGCACATCAACGAGGTCACAGAATTTTAGACTCGAGATGGGGGGAGAGGGAAGGTAGACATATCTCCTAGCCAGAGAGGGTACCCCGGCCAGTGCCCAACAAGCTGGGTACCGGACTATGCCTTGGAGGAGCCTCTGCTCAAAGAGGAGTTTCCATGCCCTCTTTCCCCACACAGGCCCATGCCAGCAGAGTATTTCGACGACTGAGCTCTTCACACCCACTCTTTCAGCCAGCACATTCCAGGGGTTCGCCCTCGGACGAGGAACAGGCACCAGTCCCGAGCTCCCAGGTGGGTTCGCCACCGGGGTCTGCCTCAGACCACTCTTATTGGTGGGACGATCAACCAGAGGCAGCAGTGCGCGCAGGAAGTGGGCTGAGGGGTCCTTGGATGGACCGCCCGAAGAGGGGGAGGGGGGCGAGACGGACCGATGGACGTGTTGGGGGAAAATGTGGGGTTCGAGCACGGAGACAGAGAGATGGAAGCAGAGGAGAGCGAAGCGCGACGAGTACATGGGGGATGAAACTGTATCCTGCACGCACCCCGCTACGACGGAGCACCCAGTACCCACACAGGAAGGAGGGGAGGGGGGAAGGGGGGGCTTCGAGGGGGGGATGGATGTCAGGGGTTCAGGAGCAGAGGGACAGGAAAGGGGGGAATTAGAGACCGAGGGAGAGGAATCCGAGGGAGAGGTCAGCGATGATAGCCGTCCGAGGTCTCTAAGTCTCTCCAGCGAATCAGAGGATTCACAGAAAGGGGCTCCCGTGGTCAGAGCTAGGGGGTTGCCAGAGGGAACACCCCAGGAAGGAGGGGCCAGAGGGGACTCAGAGAGCAGCAGCTGGAAATCGGGACCAGCTTCCCCACCGGAGAGCAGTAAGGGGGAGGAGTCCCAAGCATCGGCAGCAGGCAGCGTTCCGTCAGCGGAAGGACATGAGTCAGGGTTAGCCACGCCTGCATCAGAGAGCGAGGAAACGGTCAAAAGGAAAGTCAGGGGCAGCGCGCGCACGCCAAGTTCAAATGTACAAGAGGGTGGCGCAATGAGCAGCCCGGAGAGGGAGCCGGGTCCCAAAGCCCGCCGAAGAGAGGGGGAGGAGTCCGAAGGGTCCGCTTCCGAGGCGTCCAGGAAGGAAGGCACCCAGGGGGGTAGTAGGACCCAGAGGCGGAAGGAGAAACGAAGAAGGTGGAGTAAGGCTAGAGTCTTAAACTGGTGTACAGGGGGCGGAGACTCAGACGAGGCTTCGCTGGTCTAGGGTCTAGACGTAGAGACGCACGCTAGGGTTTGAAAATGGGAACTAAACTTCAATAAAGACTTTGTACAGTTCTGCTGGCTAGCGTTGGTCTTCTGTGAGCTGGGACCTGGAGGCAGTCTCTGACAATGTCAAAGAATCTTTTCCAAAAAAACGGTATTTGTGGAGCCTGAATATTTTCTTTTCTTGATCTGCTGGAAAAATTCCTCTATTTATTGGAGAGGATTCTTGCTTGCACAATGTTTCCAGGAAATCCATACATGCCTGTGCCAGTGTTTATTAGGTTTAGAAGTAATGAAGTGAGCAGGCAAATATTTTCAAAAAGGGAAGAGATTTAGGTTGGTTTAAGATCCTTTTTCCAGAGGTCCCACAAATGTTTGCTTGCTAATCCCCATATCTCTAATGTCTAGGGCAATGTAATGCAACTGATAACAGCCACATCTGATTTTATTTTTAAAATGTTTCTATCATACCCTTCAGTTTATGGCAAAAGAGCAAATTAAAAAGTTTATTCGAGGCTCTGGGATAAATCAGTAGGATAGTCCTCATGAAAATCTTAGGCCAAAAGTGAGCCATATACAGGAATGCATATTGTGTGTTTGTGGGAGTGGAAAGATAATGTGTTGCTGCCTCACAGCTGGGTTGCATGGAAAGTAACCATACAGATGAAATTTTTTTTGGGGGGGGGGCTGAGGTCATAGAACTTCCATAATCTGGCTAAGGACCCCATCCTGGGCAGGTTTGGGTGCATCATACAAATAATTTACTGGGTCCAGAGACCCTGTTGGCTTTCCTGCCTCCCAGGACACATGACGTTGATTTTGCAAGTGTTTTAAGGCAGTGTTTCCCAACCTTTTTTGGGCAAAGGCACACTTGTTTCATGAAAAAAATCTCGAGGCACACCACCATGCCAGATGGGGAAAGGTCACTTTTTACTTATGTAAAAAAAAATAAAAAAATAGTAACAGCATAGAAGGTAATGGTAGATGACTGTTAGGGTCTCCCCCCAAATGCAAGAATTCTATTAATATCTTCCTTAGCGAGCCGTGTTAACCCCTGTAATGCTTTCTATAGAGTAAGCATAGGGGACACTGGGGGATGTGGAACCAAGGGGGCAGTGGGCCAAAAGAGTTCGGGATCTACTGCTTTAAACAGAAATAAGAGCCAGTGGTTCTTCCTTTTTTAAAGTATCGTTTCAGCGGGGACAGCAGTCCGGATTTCCAAAAAGCGGCGCTTTTTTGCGTCTGAGCAAAGAAGAGAGAGAGGGGAAAAAAGAGAGAGAGATTGATTTGTGGCTGCGCAAAGGGGGAGGAGCCCAGGAGTAAAAGTAGGAAGGACGAAGGGAGGGGAAAGGAAAGTTAATAGAAGGAAAGGCGGGTGGGAGAGAAAGAGAAAGAAAGAGGGAAGGAAGGGGGGAAGAGAAGTGGAAAGGAGGGAGACCGAGGCGGGGGAGAAGCGTCTGGAGAGTTGCTCCGAAGTTTGGGGGGCCGCGGGGGTGGGCGCCGCGTCCCAGGAGGCGGAGGCCAGCCCGGGCTGGGAGCCGCGCCGCGGCCGGGGGCGGTAGGCGGACCCGCGGCTCCTAGGATGTGGAAAGGGACGGCGGCGCAGGGGGAGGAGACCCCGCACGGCTAGGGCAGCGCACAGGGGAGGGGAGCGGGCCGGAGGCGGGCGAAGGGGGGCCGCGATCCCACGCGCTCGCAACAATGGCCTCCTTCCCCGCAGGCCCCCGCCGAGCCCCCCGGCCGGGGAGGGCGGCGCCCCCCGCTGCCGGAGGAGAGCAGAGGCAGCAGGAGGAGGACGAAGGCGCTGCACGAGGAGGCGCGCCAACTTCTGCCAACTTCGGCGCCCGCCCCGTCGCCGCAGGCTCCCTCCCGGCCGAGAGCCAGAGGACGGCGGCGGAGCAGGAGGAGGAGGATCGGGTTTTGGCGACGGCTGCTGGCTCCTCTCCAAGCGCGGGGCTTGGCCTCCGCCGCGCCTGATCTCCGCTCGCCGCGCTTCTCGGCGGAGCAGGTCTCGTGCGGGTGCGAGGCGCTGCTGCAGGCGGGCGCGACCCCGGCTGGCTGGGGCCGCTTCCTGGGCTCGCTGCCGCCCGACACCGAGGCGCCGTGCCTGGAGGCGCAGGCGGGCGAGAGCCTGGCCAAGGCGCGCGCGTGGCTGGCCTTCCAGCACGGCGACTTCGCCGAGCTCCTACCGCCTGGTGCAGAGCAGGCGATGGGATGTGGGAGGGAGCTCGCTCGCCGCCCCGCGTGTGCCTATGTGGGGCACGTTACAGCCCCGTGACGTCAGCGCCACGCAGGCAGCCAGGCAGGCAGACGGCGAGAGCCCCGCGCTCCCAGGGCGCGCCTCTCCCGCCGCCCCGCCGCCCCGCCTCTCGCCGCCCGACTCGGCCCGCCTCCCTCCACGGCACACCAGGCAACGTCTCGCGGCACACTAGTGTGCCGCGGAACACCGGTTGGGAAACACTGTTTTAAGGGGACAATGAGTGACAGCGCTGAGGCTATTTTCTTCGCTTCAGGTGGATAACAAGCGGCAAGACCTGGAAATCAAAGACAGCAGCGGAATTGACGCCACCAAGCTGAGTCGCTTTGTTCGGATCAATGAACTCCGCTGGGTAACCGAGTACAACCCTATGGTAAGAAAGGACCTCTCTATATCATGCTGGAGCTATACCTAGGCATTTTGAATACCGAGTTCACTTTGGAGAGAACAAACCCATGAAATTACTGCCCCTTTCTTGACCCCCAGAATGAGTTAATTGAATAGTGGCAGGGATGGCCACCAACTGGGTGGCTTTGAAAGACGAATGGACAAATCCATGGCTATCGATGGCTACTAGCCATGGTTGCTCTGCTCTGCCTCCACAGGTAGAGGCAGCAATGGTTCGGAATACCAGTTTGCTGGAGACCACAGGAGGGAAGAGGGCTCTTGTGCTTGAATCCTGCTTGCAGGTTTCCTACAGGCATCTGGTTGTCCAATGTGGAGAAGAGGATGCTGGACTGGGTGGGCCATTGGCTTGACTCAGCAGGCTTTCCTTACGTTCTGATGTCTCTCTCCCTAAGCTTTCCTTGCACTTCCTACCTGCTGCTCCTTCAACCTTCCCGTCTTCTGTGAACTGAGAAACTGAGCACGGAGCTTGACGCAGCCTAGTATGCTGGACCTCCCACAATGCTCCAAATCCCACAGCTCTTGAGCTGGAAGGCTCTTCGAGAAATGCACTCTCTGACCTTTTCTTGTGAATTCTGGAACACACACACACACACACACTTTCCCTTCTTTTTATTGACACAGAGCCTCTCTCAACCCCCACCCCCCATCCTGCCAATCTCCCTGTGGGTGGGTGTAGCGCACAGGGAGGCGGCAGGTCAGCTGTAGGGTGTCCACAGGCCCTTGTTTGGCTTGTGGGAGATGGGTGGGGGAAAGTGCAAGGGGAAGGAAAAAGTCAGATGACAAATTATCCGCCGACGGGAAACTATGCGAGGAGCCCATTGGCAGTGCCAGGTGACTTGAGGCTCTTCACAGAGGGCTAGTGTGTGCAGCTCAGTCATTCCCAGTGATATATGGAGAGTTCCAGGTCTACTTTCCATGTTGTAGGCATCCAGTCTGCTTGGACTTGTGGCTTTCAAACACAGTTCAGATCGGTGCTGAAATGTTTTCCAGGCTTCTGCTATGTTTTTCTAAATGGGAATGATAGCATCAGAAGGTATACTTGTGTGTGTGTGTGTGTGTGTGTGTGTGTGTGTGTGTGTTCTTGGTTGCCCATTGCAGTGGTAACACTTCCACAGGATTTTCCATCCTTCGCTTCTTAAGGTTTTGCAGTCTGACTCAGAGAAGCAGCTTAAGCCAAAGGGTGGTATATATCACGTTTAGAATAAAGACAAACATAAGTTTTTTTAAAAATAGGAAATATAGAATTCCATGGTGATTAAAAAGTGTACATGCAGAGTGGTAAAGAAAATACATGGAAATGGAGCAGTGAAGGCTGCATTCTCGCATGCTGGGAGTAAGTCCCATTGAACTCAGTTGGGCATCCTTCCAAGCTGAAAATCTTAAAAGCTGTGTTTGACGGGGCAGCCAGCAACCTTTAGGGCAAACACAAAGACATAACATTGATGAACATTAAAAGGACAACTGGGATCTGCAATCTCAAATGTGAACTGTAGAGAATCAACTTTGTCAAATGCAAACGAACAAGCAAACAAACAAACAAGCCCCCACCCTCGATATATTCTTGTTCTATGCTCATGATGCTAATAACAGGGCAGTCACATGAGGCCCTACTTTCAATACTGTTTGTGCTTGCAAAAGTTTTAGGGTGGTAACCCTGCTTCACTTCCACACCCCTTAATTTCCTGCCAAAATCTCATAATTTTTAATACCACAAATGTTCCGGTGTATTTTGGTCTGGCTTTTCTTGCGATATAACCACTTGGACAGCAATAATGTGGTAGCATAGGGGATGGCATCTCAAAACAAACAAAATCAGGATAAATCCACCACTGTTATTGTGTCAAGGTCGATATCCTGTTGCAGAATACACAGCAACCATCACCATCATCATCATCCTCCATCTGGAGAGGACCTTGATTTAAAATATCAAGCTTTTTGTCTTTTTTTAAAAAATATTGACTTCCTTAAAAAATAATGATGTTTAATTGCTTTTATTCTTACAGGTTAAACAACCACACAAATACAACAAAAGGCGCACACACCCCCTTAGGAACTAAATCTTTAATTCCACCATCAATTTGGGTCCTGGATTTGTGTTTTTGAGAAAATCTTGAGTTTCCAAATCCTCACCTGAAACATATTCTCTTACAAGCAACTCTTAAAACACACACACACACACACACACACACACACAGAGAGAGAGAGAGAGAGAGAGAGAGAAAGAGAGAAAGAGAGAAGTTACTGTTTTGAACAATTATGGTAACATACAAACAAAATATAAATAGGAGAAGTCAAAAAATAGGAAAGGAGGATGTTGGTTAATGTGGCTTGACCTTAGAAATTGTTCATGTACAACAAATGCTTACCAACTGCCTATGCTTCGCTTTTGTGAATGTCAAGCTCAGTATGCAGCCATTGAGGGCTGGGGATGGGCTGCAGCCAATAGCACAGTCTTGTACGGACTTATCCACCTGTTTGTTGTTCGAAGAAGGTGTTGAGAGACCTCTTCTTTTGCTTGAATTCAGGCATCTATTGGCCTATGTCTGAATCCAGCAGTTCTAAAAAGAGGACACCCGTGAATTCTTCTAATTTGTGGGTTTTTGTTTTTTTGCCAGTTTAACAAATACAATGCGCAGACACAAAGAGGAAAACAGTTGAGGGTTGATAAATAGATTAATCAGAGCAAAACTGATCAATGTTCTGACAAATCAAGTAACACCTAGCTTACTAACCATCTTAGCTGGCCTTGCCTGAACTTTGCGCAGATTCAACTGCACCACCTTGGTCCAGCTCTACTTCATCCTGAAATGTAAATCACCTCTGCTCTTTGCCTCTCTGCTTTTAATCCATTGCATTCTCCTCTTTTATTTGGATACAAACTCAAGGGAGCATTGTCATGATTCTGAGGGCTAGCCTTATGTTTTCAGCATTTTAGGTTTTAGGACTTGGTACTCCAAGAGTGCCTCAGATCTCACATTCCCTAATCAACCTATTTCTTCATCTCTGATATATTGACAGACTGCAGTAGGTCTCTTTAATAGCACCATTCAGACCCACCTTCTCTTGTTCACTGACAAGTCATCCCCAAAGCATGGGGAGATGATGGACAAGTATCGTGAAGCAGCAGTTCTCTTCCAAGGGAAGGTAAGTCTGATGTGACCTGGGGTGCAAGGCTTTTTTTTAATCCTTCCAGACAGAAGCAGTAATTTATGCTTGGGCAAGCCATGGTCTAAAGCGGGGTTGACCAGTGGCAGAGGAAGGGGGTGCGGGGGGTGCGGTCCACACCGGGTGTCATCACTGGGTGGGTGACAAAATGAGTTTAAAAATAAAAAATTGGGCTCACAAAACTTTTTAGGAGTGACGTGGTGGCTTAGGCGCCTGCAGGTTCCACGCTGCCTAAAACGGCAGCGTGGGACTTACCTCTGCCTACTGCCTCTCCCTCAGCCGCCCTACAGCTGGGGAAGTGGTGGAAAGGCTGCAAGCATCGGAGAGGCTCGTCCGGCCCCATGGGCAGCTTGCCCCACTCCCGGCTGCTGGACACGCCCCCGCACCAGGTGCCCGAGCAGCTAGCTATGCTGCTGGGGTTGACACCAGCTGTTGGCATCAACAGGCACTTGCCAAGACTTACTCCCCAGTAGCAGCAGGCGAGCAATGAAAAGGAGAAGGAGAAGGAACTAACTTCACACACTTTGTTCTCCCCGCCCCCCTGCTCAGGAAATCATGCCAACTGAGCCCAGGGGTGGCAGCAAGGGAATGGACAGTGGCAACAGGAGATATGGGCCACATCTATGCCTTTAAAGCACTATTATACCACTTTAACAGTCTTGGCTTCTCCCAAAGCATCCTGGGGATTGTAATTTCTTAAGTGTGATGAGAGTTGTTAGGAAACCCCTATTCCCCAGACAGAATTACAATTCCCAGAGTGGTTTAACAATCAATCCCTCTTCCCAGGGAACGCTGGGAATTGCAGCTCTGTGAAGGGAATAGGAACCTCTTTCTTTACAATTCTCAGTAACCTTAACAAATTGCAGTTCCCAAGGTGCTTTGGAGGAAGCCAAGTGGCATAAGAGTGCTTTTAATGTCTGGTGTGGATGTAGCCCAGGAGAACAGTCATGGAGATATGAGATTAGAATTGAAAATAACTTTGTAGAATACATGAAAACTCATTGGAGAACTTCTGGTTTAATACTAGTAGTCACTTGCCAAAGTAGAAATGCTATGTATTTCAAAAGACTTTTGGGATCCATTTCCTTCGCTGATGGCCAGCTTCCATTTTTATTATATATCTGAGTCACAACTCTGGAAAAGAACTTGGAGTGGCCAATGGCACTGCTGCTCCTGTTCTGCTGGCCACCTCCTGATGTCTCTGAATATTCCACATGCCTGAAGAACTTTCTTCAAATGGCAGCACAACCCTCCCTCGGACTTGCCAGGTGAACTGCGCTGAGGACACTGAGTCAGATTTTCAGAGCTTATAATGTCGTAGAGGTTTCTTTGTTGCTTCTGTTTAAATTACTGACCTAAACACCAGGGGCTTCAGAAACCTGTAGGTGATCTCATGTGAATTCTTTCCCCCAGCTTTTCAGTTCCAAACATCTTCTACACAAATGTTATTTTAATAGGTGAAAAGACTTCTGAGACATTCAGGATCAAAGGCTGGTGTTTGGGCAGGAGCAGGTCCAACAATCTTTGCCTAAAGTCCATGGCGCTATTATGCGGAACCCATATTAAAGACAGAGCTTCATAACTGTCTGGTCCACATAGTCTAGCTAGAATCAAACATGGGGAACACACAGCTCTGAGTCACTCTCCCCATCCCATCCCCCAAACCATGCTTTCCCATCTCTTATTATTATTTGCATACAAAAGACAAATGTGGGGAAGCTCAGAGATCGAGCAAATGCTTTGCATGCACAGGGTCTCAGATTCAGTCTCTGGCTTCTCCAGGTGGAGGTGGGGAAAATTCCTGATGGAAATTTAAATGAAGAACAGAATAGGGTGGCATGACCCAGAAGCATTTATCTTTTCTAAGTGAGTAATGGTAGATGGAAATGCATGACTTTGGGATGGGAAGTGATATAGGGCCACTCTAGACTTTTTGTTTTTGCAGATGATACTATCACGAGCACAAATCATAAGAAATGACACATAAAAAGGATGTCTGGAGGAACCCCTAAGGATGGTCATTCCACACTTTTGATTGCCCAGACCCCCCTTGTCAATTGGCCTTGCCTCTCATTCCTCTGTCCCCTCTGCTAATTCAGGTTTGCTATTTTCAGTTAGAGGAGATTGCAAGGCTGGCCCATTTTGCTGCTCAAGGCAAAACAGCAACACACACATATACCATTCCTCAAGTCAAGGTGCATAGTACCCAAAGCTGATTCTGACTACAGATGCACACAATGGTATTCCCTTCACCGTGGTGCTTCACAGAAAGGTCTAAACCCATCTGGCCAGACCAGAACCCCCAGTGTTACCTGCCCTCTCTGCTCTTCAGATCTGAAAAGCAGAGAGGATGTGATTTCCTCCACTTCCTGCCACTGGGTTGACTGGTGAGGTTTGAATCCCCATGTCTAGCCCAGCTCCATGATGTTACTGCTGTGTGTCTGATAGGCCACAAAACGTGGTTTGGGGGCAAGATCTGGCCCGTAGGCCAACAGTTTGCAATTATCTAGGTTACTGGAGCTCCTCTGAGCTCTCATAATCTGTGTGATAACATTCATTTGCCTGTGTGAGCATTCTAAAATATCTCTATGCCTTTCCTATTGCCTCCTTGAAGATTCTATTTATCTCAGTGGACGTCCGTGCAAAGGGCAATGACAGGGTTATGTCTTATTTTCACCTGAAGAAGTCTCAGCTGCCTGCACTGGCTGCATTCCACACTCCAGATGAGGAGCAGGAGGTGCTGTCCGTGGATGAAGTCTCCCTGGAGACTGTAAGGGGTTTTTGCAATGGTTTCTTACGGAGAAAGGAATTGGTGAGTGCACAGGATGACAACTGGGCTGACCAATCACAGCTTTCTGCTCCATTATCAACCCCACCCCTTGGAAATGTTGTTTTCACTTTCCCACTTCAATCTGTTGTCTAGTTTTATACATGACACAGCTGGTAGTGTTTCAGAGCAATGCTTTTGCGCCTAAATAATAAACAGAGGGGGACACGGGTGGCACTGTGGGTTAAAGCCTCACTGCCTAGGACTTGCCGATCGAAAGGTCGGCGGTTCGAATCCCCGCGGCGGGGTGCGCTCCCATTGCTCGGTCCCAGCGCCTGCTAACCTAGCAGTTCGAAAGCACCCCCGGGTGCAAGTAGATAAATAGGGACCGCTTACTAGCGGGAAGGTAAACGGCGTTCCGTGTGCTGCGCTGGCTCGCCAGATGCAGCTTGTCACGCTGGCCACGTGACCCGGAAGTGTCTCTAGATAGCGCTGGCCCCCGGCCTATAGAGTGAGATGGGCGCACAACCCTAGAGTCTGTCAAGACTGGCCCGTATGGGCAGGGGTACCTTTACCTTTACCTTAATAAACAGAGGACCAAACTAGATGTGATATTAAGTATATCTTTACACTTTTTTTTTTTAAAAAAAGCAAATATCAGACTGGGGGGGGGGCAGAGAGGATTGATGATTATCAAGGCAGCCACTGGTGGTGATGGAGGTGTTTAACACTTTGCTGGAATGCTAAGGTCTCTTATTGGTGCCTATGGAGGATTTCCTTCCAATGTAAATAACAGCTATTAAAGGGCTATTTTCATCAGGGCTACTCCTGGGGAGGAAAGGGTTAAACCCACTCATCCCTACCAGGTGAGATTCTGATAACTGTCAGCCCTCCCAGTGCCTGTTTTTAAAATAATGCAGTCTAAATGCAGAGATGTATTTAACTCATCCTAAGTAATGCAGATCATTTCTGACATAGCAGGTACCATGTGCATCTCCATCTATCAACATAGTTCTGAATTATTGGTGGGTCATAGGAGTGCTATTGCATCAGTGATCAAGCATAACCATTCATAGCTTCCCCTGAGCCGTTCAGAGTCACATCTTCTTGGGTGCTTGTGAAATCTTCTCTATCGCTTCCCTAAGAAAAAGTGTCCATGTAGAAACTATCTCTGTGTAGCTCAGTCTATCATGGAAGTAGAATAATTTCTCCTTCTGAAAAGCTGTGCAGTCTCAAAAGATTTAGAGATCTGTGCTAAAAATAATTTCTTAAATCTGAAATTATAGGATTGGAATAAATTATGCAAATGGAACAAATGTGAACAATTACATTCAGTTTGTATGTTTTCTCCTCTGGCTACACAGCTTGATTTTTCTCCTCCCCCCCCCCGCGCCCCGCAATGGAAATGTTTCGTTCCGTTGTTTTATTTTTGTTTTTCCAGGATTTGGGTAAGGAGGTTTTGGACTCATGGAAAACTGGGGAATTGTGGTGGAATATACATGCAAGAGTCAGGGCACAGGGACTCCAGATGATGGGGGAAAGTTTGGGAACTGGCAAAAGCAACTCTGCCTCATTTCCTTAAAAAGGAAACCTTAGGAATTATGGGGCCTGCTGTGTTGTGGAGACAGAAGAGATCCACTAGGGAATGGATCTTCAGAATATCTCGGTGCCAAGTTTATCTGCACAGATTTTTTCCCTCCTAATTCCTGTCTTGCTCTTTAATCTTGATGCGAAGCGAGTCCCCTACCTCCTTGTTCTGCTAAAAAATGAAAAAAATCATTGTATGTATAATATTATAGGCATATGCACTCCAGATTTCCTACAGTAACCAGCAGATAACAGGTAAATACAGCGATACAATAAAATTTTATACAATTACAGCAGAATATATATATGCAACAGAGATTTCCTGCCTTCAGAGGTCTTGTATGAGTGATGGTAGGGAAACTAAAATGGTATAAGAGATTAGCCCCCATATTAATGTGGCTCAGCTGGTAGAGCATGACACTCTTGATCTCGGGCTTGTGGGTTGGAGCCCCATGTTGGGCAATGATTCCTGCATTGCAGGGGCTTGGACTAGATGGCTCTCAGGGTAACTCTACAATTCTACGGTTCTATGCACAGCGAGAGACACCAAGGGCTCTTTCAGGATCTCAAGTGTCTCCACTCCCAGTTCATCTTTCCACAAAAAAATCGTTATGTTGACGTGGTTCCTTTTGTTCTGCTTTATTTCAGAAAGAAAACTCTAAGCCAGAGGATAAGATCTTCAAAGAGGAACTCTGACTCTGTTCCAACAGCCTCTAGCCACAACCTAATTCCTGCTGTAGTTCTGTGCATACTCTTGTCCTGGGGGGTTGGGGGATAATCAGCAGCAACCAACAGTCACACAACAGAAATGTGCCAGACCATGTCAGCTGAGTTCAATACTTCCTTGATTCTCCCATAATGCTCACATTGGCCAGACCCACACTATACCTCTGGCTTTCACCAGAGATATATGGGAACTGTAGGGTTATTTGGGAGAAGTCATGTGCTTTACATGTGCATTGAATATGCTTTAAAGGTATAGTCTGGGTCTGCCCATTGCCTTTCCTACTTTACCAGCTCCATCTTTTCAGTTTTGTTCTTTGATAATTCAAGCTCTGCCCTGTTTTGCAAACAATGAGATTAAGGGCTGCTGGGATCTGCTAGCTTTGGGCAGGCTGCCAGGTAGTTGGCTCTTGACATTGCAATGCCACGTTAGTGGTGGGTTTATTCTATTTTAGTTTGTTCTGCAATGCTTTCCCTACACTGCCACATTATTGCTGTCTGGAGGGGCTATAGTGCAACAAAAGTAGAACAAAAATAAAAAGAACATTTGTGGTATAATAAATACGGGATTCTAACAGGAGGTTACAGGATATGCACAGACTGGGAATAAAGCAACGTGACCAAACTTTTGCAGGCACAAACAGTAGTGATAGCTCATGTGTGAGCCCCCCATTAGCATAATGATATAATCATGAATGTACAATGTGCAATAAAAGGGTGTCTGAAGAGTCCCACCTGGGAAATTATTGCATCAAAATTGGGGGCGGGTGGGGGCGGGTCAGGAAAGACTCATGATTAAGGCATGAGACAGCTCCTCTCCAGGATCTTGTAATAGCCACTTGAAGGAAAATCTTACAGCAGTACATCTTTGAGGCCTAAACCTGGATGTATTTAATTAGTTGGTTGTTTCTTTACAGCACTCTTTAGCTGAAGTGCCTCCTGGAGCAGCTTTATAAATGTTAAGTTGTGGGCGAACATATCAGACGACACAGCGATTCTTCCAAAGCAGCTCTTTATTTGTAAGCTGGACAGAACTGAACTGAGGAGCTCAGTCAGCCTGCTTATATAGAGCTCCAGAACAATGTAACTGTTGCAACTTTCTAAAACTATCCAATCACTGAACGTCACTTTCGATCCTTCATTTGCATAACTATCTACAGTATCCCAGGGTGCTGGCCCAGTGCTGGCCCAGGGTGAGAACTTCAGTACATAACAATAAAGATTCCCAAAGAAAACAGGATGGGGAAAAAGCAAGCTCAGCCTCCAGGTCTTGAAAGTTATGGTTCTTATAACAACCAGCTGGCATAGAAACAGTTCAGGAAGCCGGATGGGATGGCAGCTGTTAGGTGAGAGTTGCATTAAGTCTTGTTTCCCACCCCAATCTCCAAGCAGTGTGGAAATCTAGGGGGTTCAGGGCTCGGTTTCCTTGGAAAGAGGGACAGCGGAGACTGTAGTGTCTTTATGATACATGGTTTATTTACACATATATCTAACCTGAGCCTACGATGCAGATCAAAGCATTAGCACTCCAAGGGGCTCTTGCTTCTCCCATAGTCACAGCCTTGGAGTCAAGCAGAAATCAACCTCTGGTTTCTGCCAGCAGCCTCCTTCCAGCTCTCTCTCACACAAGTGGCTTTTGTCTTTCTCACTACCAGCAAGGTGAGGAAGAAAGCCCCATCCATTTGCCCTCTGACACGGAGAAACATCGCTTGCCATACTAAGGACTGTACAGTACTTACCGGTACATAAATAGTAATGAGAACCCTTGGCTAATTCAACAATGGAATCCTGAATTAGATTTTAGCCCTTGCTGGACCTAGGATTCCAGGATCACAAGGGATTCTGGCATCATGCAGGCTGACCGCCCCCCCGCCCAAACCTCACAACAGTATTATGGGGAACAAAAAGCGTTGCTTGGTCCAATTCAATACTTAAGATTTTGTTTTTCTTCAGCAAGGGTATATAAAATGCATCCTGTCAGAGACTCCAGCTAAAAGGTAGTCTGCAAGGGGCTCACTTTACAACAGAATTGTAAAAATGTAGTTGGCCGGGGGGGGGGGAAGGTTATAGCTGACTGGCTTTTAACTGAAGTACTTGCTGAGTCAGACTGCTGAAGAGTGGGGAGGGGGAAGGCTGCTACAGATGAAGAGTATCGCTGCATCCAAGATGTGGCAGAGAGCTATCCCGCTTCGCTTTTGGCATACCCTTTCTAACCCTGACAGATTGCTGCTGCCATGTGAACAGTTGCCACGTTGTCTCTCAGGAAGGCATTTGACTTGAGGGGAACTGCTAAGTACTGCAGAGCAGAGAAACCACAGAACACCCCCTGTCCCCAAGGGCAAAGCTAGGAGTAAAAGGCCACTCTTGTTCTCCTAATCCCTGCTCAGCCGCCTCCATCTCTGAAAGTGGAGTTACCAGCAGCAATGTGCGGTGGCGGCAGCAGCAGCAGCAGCAGGACACGACAGCCAAGGGAATGAGATGAACTTGCATGGCCCACAGCGCTGAGTCAAAGGATCTCTATCCTCTAAAACAGCCTCTTGTTGCAACTTACAAGGCCACTTGCAAGTTCTTGGGTGCCTCTGTTTGTCCCTTGCTAATTCTTCTCATCTCAGGATTTCATTTTCCACTCTGAATTGCACTGAGTCAACACCAGAGCTGCAAAGCTGAACAGCCCTACTATGGGATCTTGGCACAACGGCGTGAGTGGAATTGGCACGCGCTTAAAGCTCTGGGTTCTACTGTGCTGGGAACTGGCAGTGCAAAAACACACACACGCAAATCACCAACTTGTAAACAACAACAACACCCAGGAACGTATTGCAGGCACGCCTACAGACACAAAACCCCACAGCTGCTTTCCTACTGCCTAGAATGGATAGAGAGATCATTGCTTCACAGAAGTGACTGGTTAGGAATCACTTCTTCACAGAGTACATACAGTAGTTGAACTGGAATTTGCTAGTACAGCAAGTAGCAAAGGCAGCCAACTTGGATTTCTTTAAGAAGGAATAAGAAAAGTTCATGGCAGATAAGATATGCACCTTCTGCAATGTCAATGACAGTGCTGTTGCATTCATGTCCTGCATGCAGGCTTCTCAAGGATCTGGTTGACCACTGTGAGAATAGGATGCTGGACCAGATGGGCCTTTGGGGTGATCTATCTGGGCTCCACTTGGGTTAAGTTCTCCATTTGTCCTGCCTCCACTGAACATGGTAAACATAAACTCTCAACTCAACCTTACTGATCTGTATTGCCTAATGAATCTGATCTCATCATTTCAGTTTGACCTTCACATCCATAGAACTTCATGTCATCATCACCACTCCTATTTATCTGAACTTATAATTATCCAGACATTGTGAATATTCCCCAATTGAAAGGAACCTTTCCATCATTCCACCTGTAAAGAGAAAATTTATCAAAACCAGTGCCCTACCTTTATCAGTCCTATTGGCAAAATCCATACATTTCTGTTTGCCCTGTACTGTTTCCACTGACTGCTGGGTGTCCAAAGATCCTCAGAGCAAGAGGATGTTCATATCATATGACCAAGTGTCACAAGACATTTCCCACGATCTCAGCACATGGTGAAATGTAATGGTTTCATAGGCAAATCTCTTTTGGGGAAATTAGGCTTCAGAACATATTTACTTCGTAGGAGGGCCTTGCCTTAAATACTTAAGTGTCACACTCTTGTAATTCTTCCATACCAAGGCTAGGAAATCTTTTACCTTCCAAATGTTGTTTGGATCTAAATCCCATTGGTCCCAGCCTGTGTCCTGTCTCTTGCCCTTAAACTCGGAACTTGAACTGTTGTCACCTCTGAAGGTTTTGAAAGTTCTATTGATGAATTCAGTACAACATTCCACCATGGGTCTACAGGTTACACACAGGTAAGGCATGACAGAGTACTATGATACATGACTAGGTGAAACTAAGCTATTGATCCAACACTTGACATGTTCCCTCTGAGAGTGGGGTGTGCACAGCTATTCACACAGGCAGGACATGCAAAGTTTGCTTGAACCAGTACTGTTCCCGTGCTTCTTTGGAGACAAAGGTGGAAGTGACATAGCTGGCTCCCTGTCAGACGTATTCCTGGGTGTCTTCCTTGAGGGGATGAGGTGCATAGGGTGTCCAGTACCATAGAGGCAGGCTGTTCTTCTGCTAGGCCACTAGACCCTTCCCCTGAATCCAGATCCCCACCTCCCACCTCCCAATTTACTAGGACCATCCCTGGGTCAATCTCCTGTGCAGTCCTAAGTGCTCATCCCTCAACTTGCTAGGATCTTCCCTTGGGTCGGACTCCTCCAATTCCCTGCATTCTTCCCATTCCTCAACCTCATCTGACTACCCTTTCTGCAATGTCTCCACGGGTCTCATGACATCCAGTAGTGGACAGTGGAGTGGGGTAGAGGTACTTTCCTGACCTCCTGGCAGGTGAATGGCTGCTGCTTAAAGGGAAGGGCAAGGTGTCAGGGAGGGTGGCGCAGTGCATACGAGCTAATAGGAGTGTTGCAGTGGCTCTGCTGGTGCTCTTGCACCAAACCACCTTGATCCTCACCCTCCTCCTGGTAAGCAGCAGCGACTCATCTGCTGGGAGGTCAGACAAGTGTCTCCACCCCACCACTACTCCATCCACTGCTGGTCCCAGTCAGCGTGGCCAATTGTCAGGGATGATGAATTCAACAGCCTCTGGAGAGCCACAGGTTCCATGTCCCTATTTCATGCAAATAACAAAAGATAGGGGACTGGGGCAGCCAAAGGCACTGTATAACTTGTATAACACATGCACAGAGTATGGGAAACAAGCAAGATGAATTGGAGCTTTTAATACAGGATGGCAAATATGACCCGGTAGGCATTACGGAAACCTGGTGGGATGAGACCCATGATGGGAATGTAGGAATTGAGGGGTATAACATGTTCAAAGGGAATAGGCCACAAGGATGTTTTCATGGATAGTTGAGATTCCTGGATTGCAGGGGGTTGGGTTAGATGACCCTCGGGGTACCTTTAAACACTATATAGTTCTATGAGACTATGAAGAGCTGGATAACTACAAAATAAGGAGCAGAACAGCTACCAGTATATTGATTTGCCTCTCAGATTGTAGCAATGTGAATCATTTTTAGTCAAATAAGCCAGAGGAAAAACAAAACAGGATGTACAGGGACCTTGTGGTTATGCTAACGTGTTCATGAGGAGATGTTTCCTCAATGCCTGTCCCACGAGTGTACATAGATAATTATAGAGACAACTTTTTAAAGAGGCTTGTTATGTACATTGGTAAACTTTAATTCCTTTTCTCTCTTGTCTAGGAGACCACATTCGAAACAACAAGCCCTTAAACCACCGTGTGGCCAAGAAGCTATCCTCTATCCTCCCACAGCTGGCCACAGCCAGAGTGCT